ACACACACACACACACACACACACACACACACACACACACACACACACACACACATGAAACTGCCATCCGTGCAGCGAGAAGGCGGCGATTGAGATGGCGAGCGGACTGACGGCAGAACTCCTCAAGAGCAAAGTCTTCATGGGCGGCTTCTCCTCCTCCTCCTAACTCGTTGCACTGCGACGTGGTGTTGGGTGTAACTTTTGTTGTTTTGTCATTCCTTCGTGTCTCCCCTCCCCGCCCCACCTCTTTCCCTTCTTCTGCAACAACACAGCAAACAGTAAAAGAACCAAAGCAGTGGTGTGAAATCAAGTCCATCACGTTACACCCAAAACGTACCGCCACCCCATAGCAAAGTCGTTGTGCGTGCTCAGTGAATGCAGTGTTGCTGTTTACTGACAATGAATGGCGCAAGTGAGAGCCAGAGCGAGAGACGCCGCGAACGAGATGGCGGAGGTGTGGAGACAACAGCTGTTGCTTCCCACGCCCGCACACCACATGCCCCGGTCATTCTCAGCTCACTCTTGCCACTTGCGCACTCATGGTTAGGGCAGAACAACAAACAGTCAGATGAGACCCAACACTCAAACACAATGGGCACAACAAATCAATGACAAAAAGAAAGGACGGAACCGACATCAAAAGCCACACTGCACCGCTTGCTTGCAGGCAAAGAGTGGGGGGTCACAAGGCAGAATGACAGGAAAACAAACGACACAATACACAAGTAAAAGAACATATTCAACGAAATGGGAATGTCACACGAATCACATCATCACATCACTCACGTCACGTCATCATATCACTCCACACACGCTCGTACACATGCGAAAACAACACATCCCAGACCGCAGCTCACCTCAGCACTGCTCATTCATCTCCCAGGTCACACAAACACAACACACGGAACACAAACACAAGTCGAACACAGTACACAACGCACACTCACACATCAACAACAAACTTCACCCTTGTCACGTCACACAAAGATCACCACCCACTTCCTCACACCCAAATCGATTACTGCTTGCTGTCGCCCCGTGTGCCTGGCGGCGGCCTCATGGTTGGTGGCCCGCGCCTCAGGCTCGGCAGCGACGGGCGTGGCGGTGCAGCGAGTGACGGCCGCTTGGCCCCGCCCTGTCCCGGTGCACGTGAGAGCGACGCCAGCCGACCAGCTGCTGGTGGCGGCGGGCGGGACAGGCTTGGCGGGCGCGTGGTGCCTGCGCCAGGCCGCTTGGCCAGTGGCGGCAGGAAATGCGGCGCCCCGCTGGCAGCACGGAAGGGGTCTTGCGTGCGAAGTGGTGGCAGTGAGCCCTTGGGCATGTTGGAGCGGCGGGGCACGGCGCCCTCGCCTGCACTGTCCCGGCGCAGGGGCGGAACAGCAACTGGAGACAGCGGGTTTGACTGCTGCTGTTGCTGCTGCTGCTGCTGGGAGGATGTTGATCCCGAGCGAGCGATGAGTGATGGGCGGCGGCGCGGCGAGAACTGCTGCTGCGACGGCGGTTGAGGCAGCGAGCGGTGCGCGTTGGCGTCAAACGACAGCCGCGGCACAGACACGCGCTTCTCTTGTGGCTTTGTGGACGAGGCCGCCGCTGCTGCTGCGCTGCCGTGCTGGCTGGCACCGAGCGTGTCAAAGTTGGTGAAGGGGTCCTGTGTCTTGCGCATGGTGACCGCTGGTGGCGGCTGCATCCACGTCTGCTCCTGTCCGCTCGTGAGAACGGCTGCGGACATCTTGCGCTTGTCCTCCGCGCGCTTCTGCTTGAAGAGGGCAAACAGCGCAAACAGGCCCGCAATCACAAACAGCAGCACGGGCGCCACGTAGTACATGGCGCTGGTCTCGCGCGGGCTGCCAAAGTCGCCCTCCAGCAGCCGGCCGGACTGCACGTTCACCACGCTCTCGTCGTTTGCGGCGACGAACGTCTCCGGCAGCATGCGCACGCGCATCCCGCCAACAGCAGGCACAATGTTGCTCGTCGCGTTGAGGACGGTGATCACCAGCGTATCTGGCGCCGTGAACTCGCCCTCGTAATCCGCAATGTCCACGGCCACACCCTCCTGCTCAAACACGAGTGCCTCGTCAATGGCGCGCTTCGTGCTCACGTCCCTGCTCACCACGGCCGTGTTGAACGTCAGCGTGAGCGTGTCGCCCACGGAGAACTCCGAGTCGCGGTTGTCGGGGTCGGCGGCCACAAATGTCACGACATACACGCCCTCGTTGGTTGTGGACGCATCCGTCACGGGGTCGAAGTTCGGGTCCATGACGTCAATCACCTTGCGCGTGGTCTGCGAGGACGACTGCAGGTAGTTGTTGAACTCCGTGCCGAGCGACGTGTCATCCACACTCAGGAAGAGCGTCAGGTCAGACACAGACGGCAGCGTCTGTGTGCTGGCGTCAACCACGTACAGCATGAGTGAGTCTGCGTACGTGGGCACGTTGGCTGCGCGGCGGCGTCGTGCAGTCACAGCACCGCCGTTTGCACCCAGCTGCATCGCCTCGTCCTCCGTCAGCGGGCACTCGTCGCTGCCAGCCACCACCCAGCGGCCAACAACGGACCCGAGGTCAGCCGTGAGCGCGTCGTCGTCGCCGCGGCTCAGCACCTGCTGCAGGAACACCAGGTCAAAGTCCTCGGCCGTCAGCTCCGTGCACGCGAGGCGGTTCACAGGGCCGTTGAACGACAGCACCAGCTGCGTGCCCGTTGGCAGCGCAAAGCCGGCCTCGGACGGGCTCACGTCCGTTGGCGAGCTCACCTCAATCGTGGTGACCTGCGGCTGAGCACGGCCCCAGTCGCCCGTGAAGCGCGGTGCCACCGCCGTGGACGGCAGCGACGTCTCTGCGGCGTTGCGCAGGCCGCCCTCGGCGCGCACGCGAATGCGCTCGCCAGCAAACTGGTCCATGAAGATGAGGCTCACGGCCGGCGGTGTTGTGTCAAACTGCAAGCCCGTCTCCTCGCCACGGCACGTGAGGCACTGCGCCACGGTGAGCACGAGCTCCGTCGGGCTTGCCCATGCGCCCGTGAAGCGGCCGGAGAAGGCGAGGGCGGTCGGTAGCTCAAGGAGCTGCGCCACGTCCTCCTCGTCAAGCGAGGTGCCAAACGGCATGTTGGTGGCCTCGCTGAACGTGACCACAATCTCGTCTCCGGTGGAGAAGGTGAAGTCGCCGTCGTCCGGGTCAGATGCGACAACCGAGGCCACGGCGGGGCCCTCAAAGTCAACTGTGATGGTCGCCGTGCCGCGCGCGCACTCCTGGAACTTGTCGCACACCTCGAACTCAAACGTCTCCGTGCCGAAGAAGCCGTACGTGGACGTGGTCTCTTGCGCAACGTATGTCACCACGGCACGCCCGTCCACCACCTCCACAAAGGCCAGGTTGTTCTCCGGCTGGCGCGTGACGCGCACGGAGAGCGGGTTGAGCACGTGGTTCGGGTCGGACGGCGGCTCCTCGTCCACGTCCTCCGCAAGCGACACAACGTCAAGCACAATGGCCGTGCCTGCAAGCACGTTCTCCTGCACATCGGCCACGGTGGGTGCGTCGTTGACGCTCAGCACCTCCACGCTGACACTGGCAGTGTCGCACAGGCCAGCAAGGTCGCACACGGTGAAGTTGAACGCGTCTGTGCCGTGGAAGTTGTCGTCCGGGGTGTAGGAGATGATACCCGTGCGTGTGTCCACGCGCAGCGTGCCATGCTCCGTCGTTGGCGCGCCCACGGTCACGGACAGGTCCGCAACGTCGTCGTCCACGTCCACCACGTAGTCCCTTGCGAGGAGCAGCAGTGGCGTGTCCTCCGGCGTGGTGGTCGCCACATCCGACGCCACCGGTGCGTCGTTGACCTCAGTCACCGTGATGTCGACCTCGCCGCGCGCGCACGCGCCCTCCGTGTCACACACACGGTAGCGCACCGTGTCCAGGCCAGAGTAGTCGCTGGCAGGCGTGTACGTGAGCACGGCCGTGCTGGCGTCGATGCTGGCCGTGCCGTGGAGTGGGGCAACGGCCACGGTGAACTGCAGGTCCGCCGCGTTGTCCTCCACATCGGACACGTACGGGCGCAGCGCCAGCGCGTGTGCCTCGTCCTCGCGCACCGTCAGCGTCGCCGTGGAGGTCACGGGCACGTCGTTCATCGCCCACACCGTCAGGTCCACGCGGCCAACCCTGCACAGCCCCTGCGTGTCGCACACGCGGTACGTGAAGCCATCCCAGCCGTTGAAGTTCTCATCGGGCACATACAGCGCAATGCCCGAGTTGGCGTCGTACGTGAGCGCGCCGCTCTGCACGTCCTCGGTGATGGTGACGTCCATGCCGTCGAGCTGGTCCTCCACGTCAAACACGAGGTCTACGAGGTTCAGGGTCAGCGATGAATCCTCAAGCAGCTCGCCAGTGATGTTGGCGGCGCGCGGGCGGTCGTTGATGGCGTGCACGAACACGCTCACATTTGCCGTTGCGCACGCGCCGTCGCGGTCGCACACCGTGTACGTGAAGGCGTCCTGGCCCGTGAACTGCGCGTTTGGCTGGTATGTGATGGTGTTGCCGGCAGCAATGCCCGTGCCGCTGGTTGGTTGCGTCACCGTCAGCGCCAGGGACGTGTCGGCATCCTCCACATCAGCGACGTACGGGCCAACGTCCACAGCAACGGCCATGTCCTCCTCGGTGGTCAGCGCAATGCTCACGGCGACAGGCACGTCGTTGACGCTCTCAATCACCAGTGAGATCACAGCCTGCGAGCACAGGCCCTCTGGATCGCACACCTCAAAGCGGAACGCGTCCTCCCCGTGGTAGTGCGCATCGGGAATGTACCCCACAAGCCCAAGTGTCGGCTCAAATAGGGTGTCCGGCAGCGTGGGTTCTGTCGGGGGTGCGGGCGTCACGGATCCAGCAAAGGCCGTTGTGCTGCCCGGTGCAGTGGTTGTCGTGGTAGTTGTCGTGCTGAACACTGGTGGTGACATACCAGATCCTGTGGTTGTTGTCGTGGCCGTTGTCGTTGTTGAAGAAGAAGAAGAAGAAGTGTCACCAGAGCCCATGTCCAGTGACCACGACGAAGAGGACGTGGTCATGGTCGTCGTCGTCGTTGCTGTCGTGCTCGTGCTCGTGGTAGTGGTAGTGGCGGTGGTGGTTGTATCGCCAGAACCACCGTCACCGGACATCGGGGGCATGGTGGCGTCCATCCCAGAGCCATCCATCGTCGTTGAAGACAGCGTCGATGCAGCGGTGGATGTGGTGGTGCTGGTGCCGTCGCCTGCAAGCCAGCCAACGAGGCGCCCGCGGCCGGGCTCGCTCACAATGCTCAGGCCGCGCCAGAGCTCGGCAGCATCCTCCACGTCGTCCACCAGCGAAAGGAGATCAATCACAAACAGCGTGTCCTCGGGGCCGGTCACCGTCAGGTTCTCGGCCGTTGGTCGGTCGTTCACAGGCTGCACAGCCACGTCAATGGTGGCTGGGGAGCACGCCTGCTTGCTGTCGCACACGAGGAAGCCAAACGAGTCGCTGCCAAAGTAGTTGGCGTCGGGCGTGTACACAACATCACCGTTGGTCATGTTCACCTGGGCTGTACCGTGATGGGGTGAAGGCGTCACGACGACGCCGCTCGGCTGCAGCACGTCGTCCGGATCGTGGAAGTACCGCAGCGAGGGCAGAACGAGCACGCCATCCTCAAGCACAGACACTGTTTCGTCGTACGGGTAGCTGGAGCGGTGGCGCGGCGCGTCATTTTGCGTCGACACACCAATGTTCGCGCGCACCGTGTTGCTGGTGGCGTTCATGTCGTCACGCGCCTGCAGTGTCACCTCGCGAATAGCCGGGTATGGCTGCTGTGAGAGCGAGCGGTAGTGGACGGACGAGAGGACGTCCTGCCACGTTGACAGAGGCGCGGTACCGACAACACTCATGCTGTTGGTGTCGTTGTCCCGCAGCTCAAGGCCAGAAGGCACAGCAACATCAGCAGGCAGGTACACTCGCTCCAGAACGCCATCGACGGGGTTGAGGATGCGGAACACAGCAGAGGAGAGCGAGTCGCTGTCGTCATCCTCCAAAACCAGGTCGGGGAACACGGCCAACGCCGCGTCCTCAAACACGTTGCGAAGGTTGCTCGAGGCGGCAAGGCGCGGCGGGTCGTTGGTGAGGAGGATGCGGATGGTGCTGTTCACGGGCGTGCTGGTCGCAAGCCCGTCAGACACCGTAAACGTCACCGTGCGGTTCGCTGGGTGCGGCTCATCCTCCATGTTGTTGTACTGCACGCGCGACAGCACCGTCGCATACTCAGCCGTCGTCCCAACACCACTCACGCTCAGCACCCGGGAAGCGCTGTCGTACGACCACGACAGGCCCGTCCCGCTCGTGTCGGTCACAAGCTCCTGCGCGTCGGCGTTGCTCGCACTCTCCGCGCTCCACAGCCGCGCCCACGCCCCAGACACCGTCGCGTTGTCCACGTCAATCAGCACAAGGTCCGTTGGCGACACAGCAGCCACCGCGCCCTGCTCCTCAACAAACACCGCCTCGTACCCGCTGCCGGGCGACGACGCGTCAAGGTCGAGGATCGGCGCATCGTTCACGCCCATAAACGACACAAACGCCGTCGACTGCAGCGACACGCCGCCGCGCACGTCCTCGGCAACAACCTCCACGTGCCGCAGCGCCGTGCTCGGCCGCCCGGGCTTGGCCATTGTGTTCTCGTACGTCAGCGTCCGCAGCACGGCCTCAAACGCGCCCACGCTTGCGGGGCCACGCAGCACCACGCCTGCGCTCGTCGCGTTCACCGTGATGCCGCTGCCGGCCCCGCTCAGGACGCCAGCGTCAAACGCAAGCACCTCAGCCTCCGCGTCCGGGCGAGGCACAATCGACACGCTCACGTACGCCAGCTCCGTGTCATCGTCGTCCGAGATGCGCGCGGCGCTGCTGTCCACGAGCGACAGCGCGCCCTGGCCCTCGCGGTACTGCGCAACAACGTCGCGCCCAGGCACACTGGGCCCGCTCAGGTCAATCACGGGCGCGTCGTTGGTCAGCTCAATGCGCACCCTGCTCACCGCCGCCGCGCTCACGTGGCTGTCGTCTGCGACCACAACGCTGATGTTGCGCTCTGTCGGCGGCTGCGGCTCGTCCGCGCTGTTGCCGTACATGAGCGTGCGCAGCACACGCTCGTACTCGCTCGCCTCCGCCGCACCGCGCAGCTCCAGCGTGTAGTTTGCTGGCGTGTACACCACGGACGTGATGTTGGGCGACGTTGCCGTGACGTACAGCTGCTCTGCGCTGCCGTCCTGGCCGTTGACAATGGTGGCGCTGGCCCACTGCATGAGGAAAGGTCCAGAGTCATCGTCGCGCACCGTCAGGCGCTGCGCATCCACCACGCTGACGTCCGCGCCCTCTTCCACAAAGGTGACGTTGTCGTAGTCGATGCCCGCAGCAGCGTCGCCGCTCAGATCAACCACGGGCGTCTGGTCGTTGATGAGAGCCATCTCGAGCTCAAACACCACCTCGTTTGAGATGAAGTCATCGTCCAGGACTGTGAGATGGATACGGCGTGCGTCCGGATCGGGCTCCTCCGCCTCGTCCGCATACTCCACCTCTCGCAGCACCGCCTGCATGTCGTTGACGGAGAGAGGGCCGTTGAGGGTGAGGACGCCGTTGGCGAATGACGCCTGCAGTCCAGGCAGGGATGCAGCTGCACTCTGCGCATCGACACGCAGCACTTCGGTTGTGCGTGGGTCTTCCAGCTCCAGCAGCGCCTTATCCATGAAGAAGAGGTCGTTGTGGTCGTCATCCGAGAGCTGCAGCCAGGGGGAAACGTGCACGAACCCAGAGTTCTCGTCATAAACGAGGTCCGTGGTCACGTTGGAGATGAGGGGCGCGTTGTCGTTGATGGGAACGACATTGATGCGCGTCTGTGCGGAGACCGGGTTGAGGCCGTCGCTCACGGAGACGGTGAGAACACGCTCGCCCACGACAGGCTCCAGCGCCGCGTTGCTGTACGTCGTGCTCTCCAGGAGCAACGCAGCCATGTCAAGGGACAGGCCGCTGCCGCTCAGGGTCAGGCGCAGCATGTCGTTGTTGATGCCCATGCGCACCGCTGTCAGCGTGACGTTGGCCGTGCTGTTCACCATGTGCACGGTGAGCGTCTCGTCTGTGCCGTCTTCAATGTCAGCCAGGAGCAGCTCGACCCAGGCCAGGTGCGTGTCGTCCTCATCCGTGAGGGTGACACCCTCCGTCACCAGGGTTCCGTCAGAGCCTTCGACAAACGTGACAAAGGCGTTTGTGGCGTTGCCCGTTGCGTTGAGCTGCAACTGTGTGATGTCATTGACGGACTCGACGTCGATGCTGACCTGCGTCGTGTTCAGGCTGAACGCACCTGTGGGCACTGCGTTTCGCGTGTCGACGTTGAACTGTCCAGAGTACCCAGCGGTCATGTCCCAGGCCTTGGCAACAAGCGTGGCCACGCCGTTGAAGTTGCGATCGGGCAGGAAGCGGATGCGGGCGTCGGGGCCAAGCAGCGTTGCACGGCGCTCCGTCGCATACTCGGGGTAGCGCGCACCGTTGATGAGGATGGTGCCGAAGAAGGTGGACCAGTTGCCACCAGGAACCACCTGGTACTCCCATGAGCCGCCTTCCACCCTCGAGTCGACGACCGCGAGGCCAAGCTCCGTATCCTCGTCCACGTCCATCACGCCGGCGTCGACAATGTCAGCGATGGTCGTGCCCAAGTTGTTGCGTGCAGGCACGTCCTCGAAGATGCTGTTGAGGCGCAGCGGCACGCCGGTGAAGGTTGGCGCGTCGTTGACGGGCAGCACGGTGATTGCTGCCATGGCGCTGGCGTCACTGATGGCCGCCGTCATGTCGCCAAGCGCGGACGTGACGTTTGTGGAGTTGCTGCTCTGGTCCCACGCGTGGAAGGTGAACGTGGCATTGCCATGGAAGTTGAGGCCGGGGCGGAAGCGCACGCGCGCAGTGCCCTTGAGCAGGAGCGGCAGACCGCTGCCGCTGGGCGGCGTCATGGCGCGCCACGCGCTGGCATACATGCCCCGGTACTCCCAGATACCGTTGGTGTCATCGACAGCGGTCACGACGGCGCCCAGAACGGCGTCCGCATCAAAGTCCACCACCACGCGCTCGAGCAGCGATGACACAGCGTCGCCGGTGTTGGCGGCTGACGGGACATCCTCCATGATCGGGGTGAGGCTCACTGCCGTGGCTGCCGTGGCGTTGAGCACGGGTTGGTCATTCACAGGCAGGACGGTGAGCAAGAGGCGGGCGTGGGCCAGGCTGAACGGTGACGTTGGCGCATCGGCACGTGTCGAGTTGACGTAGGAGCCGCTTGCCTCGCCGTCGGTCTGATCCCAGGCCTGCACGGTGAGGGACGTGGTGCCGTGGAACTGCAGGTTTGGCAGGAAGCGCAGGCGCGTCTGTGCACTGGAGGCGTCCAGAAGCAGGTACTGCGCGCTGCTCACGTTTGCGGTTGTCCAGGATGAGCCCCCGTCCAGGGAGAACTGCCAAGCACCGTTGCTGACGTCTGCTTCCACAACAGCCACGCCAGGCACAGCACCCGCGTCAATGTCGTCGATAGCGCCCACGACGAGCGAAGCCAGCGACGCACCAGTGTTGTCGGCAACAGGAACGTCCTCGTTGATGTCTGGGAAGGCGGCAACGCGGGTGGCGTTGAGGAGTGGGCGGTCGTTAAGTGGGAGCACGTTGATGGACAGCGTGCCGACAGAGGCGCTAAAGGCGTTAAATGCCGATGCTGCTGCGGCCGTCGTGTCCGTGTAGTTGTAAGCCTCGCCCTCTGTCTGGTCCCATGCGCGGAAGGAGAGCGTTTGCACGCCATTGAAGTCTGGCAAGGGCACGAAGCGAATGACAGCGTCGTCCAGTGGCAGCAGCAGTGCGGATGCTGGCGACACAACGGGGATGTCCACCCACAGCGTGTTGTTCACCAACAGCTGCCAGCGGCCGCCATCTGTGTCAAAGCCCGTGACAGCAATACCAGCGAGGGTATCTGCGTCAGCATCTGTGATGGATGGGCCAATCAGCGCGGCCAGAGGTGTTGCGGTGGTGTCTGTCTCATCCTCGAATTCGTCCGCCAGCGCAAATGCGGTGCTGGTCAGCACAGGAGAGTCGTTGCGCTCGATGATGGTGACAAAGCAGGACGCCGTGTTTGACCACGCGCCTGCAAGGTCCTTGATGCGCACGGTGATGACGCGCTGCACCTCGCCGCGCGGGGCCTTGGCGTCGTTGGTGTATGCGACCGTTTCCAGAATCTGAATCCACGCCGCGACGCCGTCGGGCTTGGTCAGGGTCAGCGAGGCCGGGCCAAGCTGAACGGATGCGCCCACAAACGAGAGGAGCGCCATGCTCTCCAGATTGCCGTTCTGCGGGTTGGTGATCTCAAGCACAGCCTGAGTGATGAGGTCGCCAACGTCATCCTCTTGCACGAGCACATTGTCAAAGAGTTGCCGCAGGCCCTCGCCCTCGTCATACACGATGCTGGTATCGGGGACGATGGCGCTGCCATTCAGGTACAGGCGCGGCGGGTCATTGGTGAGGAGGATGCGGATGGTGCTGTTCACGGGCGTGCTGGTCGCAAGCCCATCAGACACCGTAAACGTCACCGTGCGGTTCGCTGGGTGCGGCTCATCCTCCATGTTGTTGTACTGCACGCGCGACAGCACCGTCGCATACTCAGCCGTCGTCCCAACACCACTCACGCTCAGCACCCGGGAAGCGCTGTCGTACGACCACGACAGGCCCGTCCCGCTCGTGTCGGTCACAAGCTCCTGCGCGTCGGCGTTGCTCGCACTCTCCGCGCTCCACAGCCGCGCCCACGCCCCAGACACCGTCGCGTTGTCCACGTCAATCAGCACAAGGTCCGTTGGCGACACAGCAGCCACCGCGCCCTGCTCCTCAACAAACACCGCCTTGTACCCGCTGCCGGGCGACGACGCGTCAAGGTCGAGGATCGGCGCATCGTTCACGCCCATAAACGACACAAACGCCGTCGACTGCAGCGACACGCCGCCGCCCGGGACGAACCATTCTGCTATTGTGCCACGCGCTCCATCAATATGCGATGCGCTCACGAGCCCGCGTCCAGCTGCGATGTCTCTTGTACTGGATACCTTGTCATTCCTATGGTTCGGAGTTACTACCCAAATCAGACTACTGTGGAAAAGTTGATGCAACAAACATCCGCGCAGTGGTGTCCGACCGGCGTCGTGGGATCCGGCAGTGCCCTGATTCCCTAAAGATCGTATAGGGGACCCTGACGTCACGTCTTTTGACCCCGTTAGTCTAACCGAATACCTGAGGTCGCGTGATCACAGAAGCCACGTCTCAGCTACAGGGGATCCTGCCGCATTACCAGACTGGGGTGCCATCTAGTGTAACATACACCTCGGAAAGAGTCGGTGGCCACCAGGAGTATATAGCAGCTGTGAGCTATACACGATAACTCATACCGCATAGTTGCACCTGGTTAATCAAACCAGGCATCTAAGTGTTAAGGGGCTGAAGCAAGAGAGGTTCTTAGGTCGAAAGGCCAGCGTGCGTCGTTGGTCAGCTCAATGCGCACCCTGCTCACCGCCGCCGCGCTCACGTGGCTGTCGTCTGCGACCACAACGCTGATGTTGCGCTCTGTCGGCGGCTGCGGCTCGTCCGCGCTGTTGCCGTACATGAGCGTGCGCAGCACACGCTCGTACTCGCTCGCCTCCGCCGCACCGCGCAGCTCCAGCGTGTAGTTTGCTGGCGTGTACACCACGGACGTGATGTTGGGCGACGTTGCCGTGACGTACAGCTGCTCTGCGCTGCCGTCCTGGCCGTTGACAATGGTGGCGCTGGCCCACTGCATGAGGAAAGGTCCAGAGTCATCGTCGCGCACCGTCAGGCGCTGCGCATCCACCACGCTGACGTCCGCGCCCTCTTCCACAAAGGTGACGTTGTCGTAGTCGATGCCCGCAGCAGCGTCGCCGCTCAGATCAACCACGGGCGTCTGGTCGTTGATGAGGTTGACCTCAATGATTCGCGAAACCGTGTTGCTGTCTGATGCACCATCGTAGACCGTGACCAGCACGCGCCGGTTCTGGTCGAGAGGCTCCTCCGCGTTGTTGGTGTACGCGAGCTGCTGCAGCACGGCCACGTATGTGGAGAGGTGCGCCTCGCCAGCAACGCGCAAGGTGCCCGAAGTTGCGTTGTAGGTGACGTTGAGGCCGGCAGGTGTGGCCACGTCCTCCAGAAGGAAGAGCCGCTCCTGTGGCTCAGCGTCGACCAGGACAGCCTGCAGACTGTACAGCGGGAAGCGGGCAGGGTCGTCGTTGTCGGAGATGGAGCCGTTTCCAGCCAGGCGAAGCGCCGCCTGCCCCTCGGTGTACTGCAGCTCAGAGCAGTACGCGAAGAAGAGGCCTTGCACTGTCGCCTGCGCCTTTGGACATGACGGGCGCACGAAGCAGAAGGGCCCGTTCTCGTCCGGGAACGGGTTTGCGTGGTTGAAGCAAAACGAGCCGTATCCCTCTGGTGCGCCGGCCAATGTCTGCCCAGTGCACTCGCATGGGTCCAGCGAGAGGCTGGGCGGGTTCTCGTTGACGAGGACAATGTCCATGCGCACGTACTGCAGGATGCTCGTGTCTTCGCCGTCAGAGACGGAGAGCTCAAAGTAGCGCGGGCCCGGGTCTGGCTCGTCCGCCGTGTTGTTGTACGTGACGGACGAGAGGGCCTGCAGCATCTGCGCCACGGTCGCTGTTGTTTGCGGGGCCGGGGTGAGCGTGAGCACCGTCTGGGGCAGGCTGTGCGGGCACGGCACGAAAGACGGGATGGACGCGCACAGCACGACGGTCGTGGACACATCCGAGACAAAGGCCGGGTCATTCAGCTGCAGCGTGTCCATTGACACGTCCAGGCTGTTCAGGAGCTTGACGGTGGCCGAGCTGAGCGTTGGCGAATCTGCGTCGAACAAGGTTGCGCCGACGGGAAGGACCTGCGTTGGGCCGCCGTGCTCCACGTGCTCGCTCGTCGCCAGCGTATATGGATCGCCAGCGCCGACAACAAGCTCTGGTGGGTCGTTGACAGGCCCAATGGTGATGTGGGAGAAGTGCACGTCGCTGAAGAGGTTGGCCGTATCGCGGACGGTGACGGCCACCAGGCGCGTCGTGTTGTCTGGGTCGCGATCCAGGTTGGTGTACAGGATGTTCCGCAGCAAGTCCTCGTACACGGCCACGGGCGCCTCGCCGCTCACTTCCAGCTCGGTGCTGTCTTGTGTGGCCGCTGAGACGGTGAGGAGCGGGTGGGAGACGTTCGCGGCCAAGCTCTCAAACCCGTTGTCAAGCACGTTGGTGATGCGCACGGTGGCGCCAGACAGCACGAACACGTCGTCGTACTCAATGGAAGCCGCTGGGGCAATGGTGATGGCAGGGCCCTTCTCCACAAATGTGGCGGCCGTGTTGTTGAGCATGGCTGGCGTTGCGCCGAGCGACACCACAGCGGCGCGGTGCACGAGGACGGTGACGCCTGCCACGTTGGATGGGTCGGCATCGGCAACACGCACGCGCACGTCGCGGCTGGTGCCGGTGGGGCGGTAGCGGTCGTTGCGGTAGGTGATGGAGCGCAGCAGCACGCTGTACACCTCGAGCGTGTCCTCGCCCACAAGCGACAGTGCGTGCTGGGACGCCGAGTACGACACGCCGACGTTCGGACGCGTGGTGAGGGAGAGCGCCCAGCCGTGCAGGGCAACGTAGCCGACATCGACCTGGTCCACGGTGAGGGACCACTCGCCCGCGGCGAGCTTGTCGTGGAAGGTGGACAGCGGCTCGCTGGCAAAGTAGCGGCCGCTGCTCAGGTCCACACACAGCTGGTTGAAGGTGATGGGGGACGCGGCGCTGCCGTCAAGGACAACGGCGCCGGTGCCCTGGAAGGCGCACCCGCCGCCAATCTTGGTCAGCAGCTGCACGGCTGTGCCGTCGGGGTGGGCCAGGCGAAGGCGCACCTCCGTGGCGCTGTCGTGAAGGCTGAGGAACACGGCCACGTCCACGTCCGTGACCACCCCGGAGTGCGGCACGTCGGAGAGCGACGTGTACGGAGTCGTGGGCAGGGCAACCGCTGGTGGGCCCGAGGCGGCAACGAGCTCGGGCGACAGCGTGATGTTGCGCGTGCCCACGGTGACGACGAGAGACCAATCGAGCAGCTGGCCAAAGCGGTAGGGCAGGTACGTGTCGACAACCTGCAGCGTCCAGTCACCGTCGGCAGCGTGGCCAACAAAGGCGGCCAGCGACGATGCGGGCGCAAAGCTGCCTTCGATGGAGGACGCGAGCGGCTCCCCAGCACCCGTGTCACGGGCACAGGCCTGGTTGGCACGCGTGCCCGCGCCGTCTGCAAAGTGGAACAGGGCAGTGGTGGCCTGGCAGTCGCCCGCACCTGCTGCGGTGCTGGTGGAGGCGCTGAGGCGGTCAAACAACAGCACGCGCACGCCGTCGTGCTCGAGGTATGCGCGAACATCGCCCAGCATGTCGTGCTGCAGCTGCATGGACACAAACACGGCAGAGACCGCGCCCGTGTTGGGCGCGCTGGCGGACGCCGCGAGGGACATGGTGTCCTCGGCGCACAGAAAGCCTGGCTCGTCCGCGCACGGCGTGTCGATGGCGGTGGTGGTGGCAAGGCCGAGCTTGCGGCCAGCGGCGCTGTTCTCAATGGGCGGCGGGGTGTAGGTGAGTGTGAGGTTCTCCAGCGCGTCGTCCTGCGCATCGGCAATCCACACGCTCGCGTTCTGCAGGTGGTTGTTCTCCTCGTCAGTGAGGGCAACCGCATCAAACACGCGCACGGGCTCGCCGTGCTGGATGAAGACGCCACTGCCCGAAGCGCTCACGACGGGCGCGTCGTTCACGGGAATGACGTTGACGAACACGAGCTGCATGAGCCCGTTGTCGATGCCGTCGGAGAAGTAGCCCGAGATGCGCCGCTGCGGGCTTGCCGTGGGGTTCTGGCTGTAGTGCACAAAGGTGAGCGTGCGCAGCAGCGCCTGGTATGCGGCCACGGGCGCGTCACCAACGAGCCGCAGCGTTCCGGAACGGTCGTAGTCCACGAAGATGCCGTTGGCCTGCGCAAGGGCGCGGTCAACGGAGAGCACCTCCGTCTGCTGCGCCAGGCCAACGTCCTGCAGGTTTTCCAGGACGAACGTGGCGCGCGCAAGGTGCGTGTTGTCGTAGTCGCGGACAACGCCAGACGGCGCAAGCGGCAGTGGCGAGGCGTCCTCTGTGTAGTTGAGGGTCGGTGCGGCGGCACCAAAGGAGGCCGTGTACGAGAACATGGGCGCGTCATTCACTGGTGCAATGCGCACGTGCACGTACGCGGGCGCAGACCCGGCGCCAACAGGATCAAACACGCGCACGCGAAGCACGCGGTCGTCGCCAACTGTCGGGTTCTCGGACGCGTCCCTGTAGGTGGTGGCGGCTAGGACGGCGCGCCAGTCTGCCAGCGACGCGTTCAGCCTCAGCTCGAGCATGTGCGTTCCGGTTCCGACGGCGACGCCGCCGTTCAAGCCGGTCACGGGCGGGTACAGGCCCTCGTCTGCGCCATCTGCCGCATTGAGCAGCTCAACGGTGGCGCGCGACAGCTGTGCGTTGTCGTCGTCGTTCAGGTACAGGTCGCTGGCTGTGGCGGCAAGCGCGGCGCCGGGGCTCGTGCTCTCCACGTAGACGGTGGAGAAGTTGAGGGCCTGCGGGTCGGTGCTGGCGGCGCCAAGGTGCAGCGCTGGTGCGTCGTTGATGAGCTGGATGTTGATCTGCGACACGGCAGGGAGGGAGTCGCGCAGCGCGTCGCTGGCCACCACGTGCAGGATGCGCGGCTGCGGCGAGGGCTCATCCGCCAGGTTCTGGTAGGCAAGCGACTGCAGGACAGCCACGTAGCCGGCAACAGGGGCAACGCCGCTTGCCGTGAGCGTGCTGGTGGCCACGTCGTACGCCACCGCAATCTGCGCTGTGGGGATGGCTGCGGCGGCGGAGGCGTTGGTGTCGACCCGAAGCACCTCCTGGGCAGGCCCGTCGAGCGGGTTGGTGATGGTGACGGTCAACGAGGCCAGCGTGGAGTTGTCCACGTCCACAATCGAGGACGCGTTGGTGCTGGCAATGGCCACCGCATCGCCTTCCTCCACAAACGTGGTCTGGTAGCCGATACCGGGCGCCTTGCCGTTGAGATCAATGCGCGGCGCGTCGTTGACGGCTGTGAAGACGATGGACGAGGTGGCCGTCGCGGACCAGCCATCGCCATCGCTCGCCCGCACCTCAATCGCGCGTGGCCGCGTGTCCGGGTTGCCAGGCATGGCGCCCGCGTGCGTGTATGTGAGCGACCGCAGCGCCGTGACAAACTCTGCCAGCGGTGCCGGGCCGCGCACAACCACGCGCGTCGCGTTGGTGCCGGAAGCAAGCCACAGGTTGGGCGTTGCCGGGGTGTTGACGGTCATGTTGATCATCTCCAGCGCGGCGCCGTCCGGGAACGGGGACAGGCGCGCCTCCAGTGCCTCAAGCACGGTGTTGTCGACGTCGCCAACCACCGCGTCGGCAGCAACGGCGCGGACGGTGCCATCGCCCTCCGTGTACGACAGCACAAAGCCGTCGCCGGGGAGGGCGCTGCCGCCCAGGTCGAGCGTGGGCACGTCGTTGACACGCACAATGGACACGTTGACGTGCGTTGGGGAGCTGAGGAGGTCGCCGTCAGACACGCGAACCTGCACCTCGCGCCAGTCCGGGTGGTTTGGCTCAACCGCCGTGTTGTCGTACAACACGCCGCGGAGGATGGCCTGGTACGTGGCCGGTGTGGCCGTGCCAGTCAGGTTGAGAGCGGCGCCATCGTCGCCAATGGAGACGGTAACGCCCTCGCTGCTGGCCAGCGACTGCGCCGCGCTGTTCAGGGCCAGCGCTTCGCTGCCGGCACCGTCCACGTGCTGAGGCAGCCGCAACCAAGCCGCGGTAATCACAGACACGCCCGAGTCGGCGTCCCCAAGCGTCACCGCGGGCATGACTGGCGCAGCGGGGCCTTCCTCCACAAAGGCTGCCGTGCCTGTGGGCGTGTTACCAGCAAAGAGCACGGTGGGCGGCTGGTCGTTGATGCCAACCACGCTCACGGTGAGGGTGACGGGCGGCGTGCTGTTGAACAAGCCGTCGTTGATCACCAGCGAGACTGTGCGATCGCCAAGCGTCGGTTCTTCAGCGCTGTTCACGTACGCCAGGCTGGACAGCACTTGCTCGTACAGGCCAAACGCGCCAGCGCCCACAACCTCGAGCACGCCCACGCCACCCGCGCTGGCATATGTGGCAGTGAGGTTCTGCGCGTCCACGCTCAGCTGCTCCACGGCATCACCGTCCGGTGCAGGGGTGAGTGTGGCCACGGCGCGCTGGATGTAGAACTGGTCCGCGTGGTCCGCGTCAGACACGTTGACGGTGCCCGGGCCAAGCAGGGCCACGCTGTCGCCGGCTGTGCCCTCCACAAACGTGATGGTGGCGCCGTCGGCCTCAGCCGCGAGCGCGGGCAAGTGGTCGTTGATCATGGACATGACGACGGACGTGACAAACGGCAGGCTCTCGCCAACGTGGTCCAGGACGGTGAAGGTGAGAGTGCGGCGGCCGCGTGTTGGCTCGTCGGCCGTGTTGACGTAGCGGACAGCCGCAATCCAGTCGCGCACCTGCGCCAGCGTGCGCTCGCCGTTGTTGAACGGCTTCAGGCGCAGCTCAAACGTGGTGGCGGTGCGGGTGATGCTGAGGGCGTGTGGGCCGTGCGCGGGGCTGTCCAGCAGCAATGCCTCGCTGCCCTCGTCCCGGATGCCGGACACGACGCAGCGCATCTCCGTGAGCGTGGTGTCATCGACGTCCACCACGGAGACGGCCTGCGCCACGCGCACGGGCGCGCCGTCCTCGACAAAGGTGAACACGTTGGTGGGGTGCGTACTGGAGACGACGGGGACGTCGTTCACGGGCAGCACGTCGAGCAGCGCCGTCGCCGTCTGCAGGCTGTAAGCGCTGGTGGGTGCGGGCCCCGTGGTGTCCGCGTTGTCCTGGCCGCTCACGCCGCCGTCCGTCTGGTCCCACAGCTTGAAGCGCAGCTGCACGGTGCCAAACACGTTGAGGAACGGAAGGAAGCGCACCCACGCCTCGCTACCCAGCAGCAGGGCGGCGTCGTCGCGGGTCGCCATGGCAGACATGTTGCGCCACTGCGCGTCGGGGGAGCCGGGAGCAGCGGACGCATTTGCGCGGTACTGCCACACGCCCAAGGACGCGTTGTGCACCTCCACGATGGCCACGCCAAGCACGGTGCCGGCATCCACGTCCGATGCCAGCGCCAGCAGGTCCTGCACGGGCGTGCCGTCGTTGTCAGCGACGGGCACGTCCTCAAGGATGGAGCGCAGCGCTTGCGGCGGTGGCACGGGGTCGGTGGTGGCGAACACGGGCCTGTCGTTGAGCGGCTGCACGGTGATGGTAGTTTGCGCCACAGCTGTCTTGGGGCCAGCACCGGCGCCGAAACGCCCGTGGTCCGTCACGTTCAGGGTCACAATGGCATCGCCCACAAAGTCCTGGGGCGGGTCAAACTGCAAGGTGGCGAGTGCGGCGTTGACGTCCGCCACATACCCGGCCAGAACCAGCTGGGAGCTCCAACCAGCAGTTGCCGTTGTGGCCAGCGTTCCGGTGCTCACGCGCACGGTCGTCGTCACGCCGCCAGCAACATCGGCGTCGCGGTCAAACACGGACACGGCCGTGACGTTGAAGGGCCCCATGTCCTCCCACATGGTGAGGGCGGCCGGCGCAAACGCCTCGGGCCCGTTGTTCACGGGCAAGACCTGCACCGTGGCCACCAGCGGCTGCTGGCTGAAGGGTGCGTCAGCACGCACAAGGGACGTGGTCGCGTTGAGGCTCGTGACCGCAGTGCCGCTGGCACGCGCGGCGGCTGAGCGCTCGCCCTGGTCCCACCCTCGGGCGGTGAACGTGGCCGGGCCATAGTAGAAGGCCGTGGGCACGAAGCGGAGCAAGGCGGATGGCGGCAGGCCAAGCGCGTTCTCCTCCCCGATGGCATCCGCAGCCGTGATGCGCGTCCACACACCGGCAGGCATGTCTGCGGTGCGGTAAGACCAGTTGCCGTGCGTGGCATCGACAGCCGTGAGCGCCAGGCCGAGCGCCGAAGCGGTGGGTTCGTCCACATCGGAGAAGACGCCCTCGCCCGTCACGTTGGCGCCAACGCCAATCACGACAGCGTTGTCCGAGATGCGGGAGCCCGTGCCGTCGGCGACGTCGTTCTCAAACACCTCGAAGGGCGACGCAAGCGCGTGCTCAAACACGGGCTGGTCGTTCACAGGCAGCACGCGCACGTGCACGGTGGTGGCAGCCTCGAGCGGCTGGCCAACGCCCGCGATGCCGTTGTCACTGGCGGTGATGGTGATGGTGGCCATGCCATGGTAGTTGGCGGGCCCAAGGAAAGCAAGGTTCGCCAGGAGGGCGTTTGCCTCGGCCAGCGGCCGCGAGAAGGTGAGTTGGGGCTGGAACGCGTCCGAATCGTTCACGCGCAGGCCGCCAACAGACGCAGCCGCCGTCACCGTGTAGGGCGAGGAAGGTGCCTCGGCAGCATCCACGTCATTCAGCACCACCTGCGGCAGCGTCAGGGCAACGTCCTCTGGCGTGGTCACGTTCGTCATGGTCACAAACCACGGCGCGTCGTTCACCGCCGTCACCGTCAGCTGCACGGGCAGCACGTCGGCCGTGAAGGGCCCGCGCTCCGTGTCGGCAAGCAGCACAGAAATGTCCTGGGGAGAAGTGGACGCGTTGACGCCGCCCGTGAGATCCCATCCGCGCACATCCAGGCCTGTGACGCCGTTGGCGTGCGTGTTGGGAACGAGGCGCACGCGGTCGTTGGGCCCAAGCAGGATGGCTGCAGAGGACGGGGCAAGCGACGACGCATCGACGTCCACCCAGGTGTACATCACGGTGCCGTTGCCAGCAACAGCGCTCTCGCTGGCCAGCGCCACCTGCCAGGTGCCGAGGGTATCGCTGGCGTTGACAATGGCGACACCAAACGCGGTGGTCTCGTCGGCATCCGTAAACTGCACGCTGTCCACGGCAACACTCGATACGCGGGTGCCGTCGTTCTCCGTCTCGTCCTCCAAAATGGTGGTCAGGTGCGTGCTGCCAACAGCACTGGGAACAACGTGCGGCACGTTGTTGCGTGCAACCACGGTGACGAGTGCGGGCTCCGTAGCCACGTTTGTCAGCTCGCCGTCGCTGACGGTGATGTCGATGCGACGTGGCGCGGACGTGTCTGGGTTCGTGTCCAGGTTGGCGTAGGCGACAGAGGAGAGGACACGGTTCCACGCGGCCACGGGCGCAAGCCCACTCAGCGTCAGCGTGTGAGTGCCGTTGGAGGCAAAGCTGACAATGCGGCTGTCTGTCTCATAGTAGTACAGCACCTCCAGGCCCGCGTCCAAGACATTAGCAATGTTCACCGTGGCCTGGATCAGGCGTGTGTTGTCGTCATCACCAACGCGGAGGTTGTCGGCCACTGGCACCGGTGCCGTGCCCTCCACAAACGTGCGAAGCGCCGGCGTGGTCGGCAGGTGCGTAAATGCATTGTAGTCGGCGCGCTGGCGCGATGTCTCCCACTCAAAGTCCGCAAACGGGCGGTCATTGGTGAGCGAGATGTTCAGGCGCGTCTGCCGCGCAATGCTGTCGGCCAGGCCGTCGCTCATCACAAACGTCACGGTGCGCTCGGTGGCATCTGGCTCGTCCAGCTCGTTGTTGTAGCGCGTGGTCCGCAGAACCTGCTCAAAGGACTCAACGGGCGCCGGCCCGACAATGCGCAGTTCCCCAGAACCGTGATCATAGGACCAGGTGAGGCCGGTGTCAGACGCGTTGACCCAGAGCGACTCGTTGCGGCCGTTGCGGACGGGGCTGAGCGTGACACTGGCCCAGCTGAGGGACGTGTTGTCCACATCCACCAGGGAGAGCGCCGGCGACACGACCAGGACAGGCCCCAGTTCCTCCACGAACGTCGCCTCAAAGTCAAAGGACGTTGGGCTCAGGGCGAGGATGGGTGCGTCGTTGACGGCGGCAAACGTCACAGTGGCGGTTACAGCAGAGCTGTTGCGCCGGCCGTCGTCCACTGTCACGGTGACGATGCGGGTGATGGCTGTGGGCTTCCCTGGGCGCGCAATCGTGTTGTTGTACGCGAGGGAGCGCAAGGCGCGCTCAAAGTTGGCCACGGTATCGGGTCCCTGCAGGCGCAGCACCGTGTCAGACACATCCACGCGTGTCAGCGCCGTGCCCGTTAGGTTGACCAGCAGAAACTCCTGATCGCCATCGGGGCGAGCGTTGAGCGACACCACGGCAGATTGCAGGATGGTGTCGTCGGCGTCAGCCAGTGTGCCGTTCGCAAAGAGCAGCAACGGGCCCTCGCCCTCCACGAACTCCACGACCACAGGGGCACCGCTGTATGCGTCGCCGTCGAAAACGGGCTTGTCGTTGACCATGGCAATCTCAATGTGGGTGTAGGCGGGCTCGCTCACAAACAGGCCGTCGTCAACCGTCACCATCAGCGTCCGCCGCGCGCTGCCGTCGTCTCCGTCAGCAACCACATCAGCCCCGCTCGGCTCATCCGCAACGTTCCGGTACGTCAGCGTCGACAGCGCCGCCACAAACTCGGTGCGCAGCGCAGGCCCGCGCAGCACAAGCACATACGGGTCCGCCGTGCTGTTGTACTCCACGCTGATGTTGCTGCTCCCGCCGTCCGTCGCAGACAGCTCCTCGAGCACACCATCCCGTCCGTCAACAAGCACAACACGCACAGCAGCAAGCGGAAGATCCCCGCTGTCCGCGTCCGTGATCCCGGCATCTGCGCCAACAGCAGACACCGCTGGGCCCTCCTCCGTAAACACCACGCTCGCGTTCACAACGCCGTTCCCGGCATCCCCGACATACACAACGGGCCGCCGGTCGTTGATCACAGCAACGTCAAAGTCAACGCACCCACGCTCAGCCGCACGTGCCACGCGTCAATGCGCTCCACCACCAGGCCCTCAATCTCCGTCTCAGCCTGGATCAGCAGCACGTCTGCGTCGCCGTCGTGCGGGTTGGTCACGTCAATGTCCACGTACTGCAGCTGGAAGTTGTCCACGTCCCACAGCGACAGGCCCGTGCTGTTGACAATGGAAACGGCGCCGCCCTGCTCCACAAACGTGGCTGTGGCGTTGCCGTCGCCGTTGCGCGCAGCGGCTGCCGCGGGGCCCTCCAGCAGCACCACGGGAACGTCGTTCACAGACTCAACCGGTGCTCGCACGTCCACAACCTGTGCGCTGAAGCTGTCAAATGGGCTGGTGTTTTGTGCGTCCACGTGTTGCTGGCCAAGCGTGTACTGGGTCATATCCCACACGCGCAGCTGAAGGTCAGCGATGCCGTAGAAGTCCTTGAATGGCACAAAGCGCACGGTGCTGGTCTTGCTCAGGAGCATTGCAGAGGTCTCTGCGATGCCACCAGGGAAGGTGACCCAAGCGGTGTGCGAGCCGTTGCGGAACTGCCACTCGCCATTGCGGCGGTCGAGCGCAATCACGGCAACGCCGTAGTCCGAGTAGTCGTCAACGTCACTCACGTCCGCGTCCAGCAGAGACTCAAACGTGGCGCCCGTGATGTTTGCGGGCGGCGTGTCTTCGTCGATGGTCGGCAGCGTGACCAGGCTCGTGCTGACAACGGGTGAGTCATTGACCTGCGTCACGTTGAGGTGCAGGGTACGCGTGTCATCGCTGAAGGCCGGTTTGAGCGCGACTGTCTTGACGAGGCTGACACCAGTCACGGAGCCGCTCGCCGCGCCATCTGTCTGGTCCCAGGCGCGGAATTCGAGTTCAGCACTGCCGTAGTAGTTGGGGTTGGGCACGAAGCGCACCCGCACCGTGTCGGCGGATGTGAGCACAACTGCACGCGCGTCGGACGTGTTGGCCGACACGGGCGTCCACGTCACGGACGTTGCATTGCTGTCCAGGGTGAACTGCCACTCGCCGTTCAGCGACTCTAGGCGGACAAGTGCAACACCCAGCGTGGCATCCGAATCGTTGTCGGCCGCAGACCCTTGCTGGAGAAGGTAAGCGGTCGACAGCCCAGCGTTCTCCGCATCGGGGATGTCCTCGAAGATGGCCTCCGTCTGTGTTCCGGCTTGCAGGACCGGCTGGTCGTTGACCGACGCCACCTCCTGGTGGGCGGTGGCGGAGGCGAGGCTGAAGGGCTCGTCTGCGTCCGATGAGAGCGTGCTGGCCGTCTGGCCCCACGTACCGCGGGTGCCGTCCCACGCAACAAAGGTGAGCGGCACGGTGCCGTGGAAGTGCGCGGCAGGGAGGAAGCGCAGGCGGAACCGTGGCTCCGAGAGCAGCAGCAGCGCCTGTGCGGGGGCCACGTCCGTGTCGACGGCGGTCCAGGACGCGCCGCCGTCAGACGACCACTCCCACACGCCGTTGGCGCTGTCTGCGCCCGTCACCGCAATGCCGTCCACGCTGGTATCGGGAAGGCGCACGCCATTGTGCAGCAGCAGGTCTGGGTCGAACACCGAGCCGTTGAGCAGCTCCGGGATGGACAGGCCAGAGTTGTTGCTGGGCGGGACGTCCTCCAGGACGGTGGGAAAGTTGGCAACACGCGCTGCGTCGAGCACAGGGCGGTCGTTGACACTGAGGATGGTGATGGCCACGTGGCTCGGCGCGTCGGAGAGGGCGCCGGTCTGCGGACGAACGGATGCGTCAACCAGGTCTCCTTCGCTGCCCTGCGTCTGGTCCCAGGCGTAGTAGGAGAGGGCCGCGCTGCCGTGGTAGTTGGCGTTGGGCACAAAGCGCAGGCGCGACGCGGGTCCAGCGGCAACCAGCACGGCGTTGGTCACGCTGGTGTCGCTGGGAACGTCGTTCCAAGCGCTGCCGGTGGCGGGCTGCCACTGCCAGGTGCCGTTGGCGGAGTCGGCAGAGAAGATGGCCATCCCCATCACGGCGTCGTCGTCCACATCCGTCGAGTCCACAATCGCGTTCAGGATGGGCAGGCCAGGGTTGGCGGTGTTGCTGGTGCCCACGTCCTCCGGCACGGCAGGCAGCTGTGTGGTGTGCTCATCCTGGACAGGTGCGTCGTTCACGGCGCTCACGTTGACGTAGACCTGCACGAGGTTGCTCAGGCCACCCTGCGCATCGCGAACTTGCAGGGTGATGGAGCGCAGCACGGATGTGGTGGGGCCTTGGTCGGTGTTACGGTAGCGAACCGAGCGCAGCAGACGCAGGTAGTGCTGAATGCTGTCGACGCCAGCAAAGCTGAGCTGGGTGGTGTCGTTGGTGCGGAAGGCGGTGATGCCCGTGGCAACCGGGCTGTCAGCGAACGTGAGGAACTCGTGATCCGTGTCCTGCACGTTGTCGATGGTGACCATCGCCGTCTGCATGTCCAGGTCATCGTCGTCCTGCAGGTACAGGCCCTGGTCAAATACAAGCACCGGGGGCGCGTCCTCGACGTAGTTGACGTCGGGTGCATCGCCCGGGTAGTACAGGCGCGGCGGGTCGTTGGTGAGCACAATCTTCAGCGTGGTTGTGCGCGGAATGCTCCACGCAAGGCCGTCAAAGGCAGAGATGCGGATAAGGCGATCTGCAGGGGATGGCTCGTCCTCGTTGTTGAAATACGCGAGCGTGCGCAGCAGGGCCTCGTAGTCGCTAACGGCCGCCTCGCCGCCAATGGTCAGCTCGCCGCTCGACACGTTGTAGGCTGCAGTCAGGCCAGCGGAAGCCGCAAGCGTCGTGTCCCAGAGCAGCGTCTCGTTCTCCTGGTCGGGCACAGGCTGCATCACAACGCGGGCAGCAACAAGTGTGGTGTTGTCAGAGTCGGTCAGGGTGAGGTTCTCGCTCACCACGGGCACGGGCCACGCCTGCTCCTCGACAAACTCTGTCGCGTACTGGCGACCAGGCACCGCTGGCCCGCTAATGTCCAGCACGGGCTCGTCGTTGACAGCCTGGAACTGGATGGTGGCGGTGCTCTCGGAGCGCGCGCGCCCGTCGTCAAGCGTCACCGTTGCAATGCGGGAGCCGCCCGTGGGTTTGCGCGGGTCTGTCACTGTGTTGACATACGCAACGGCACGAAGCACGGCAGTGAACTCGCTCAGCGGCGCAGGACCGCGAAGTTCAAACACGGTGTCGTCATTGGTGGCCGTGACGGTGATGGAGGTGCCCTGGTCAGCAACAATGAGGTACTCGTCTGGCGAGTCTGGTGTTGGAGAGAGCACAATGCTGGCGTTCTGCAGGATGGTGTCGTCGGAGTCTGTCACAGCCGACTGCGGGTCGAACAGCAGCAGAGGGCGAGACGCCTCAAAGAACGTCACAGTCGAGTCCGGCATGCCATTGCCACCGGCGTCAAACAGCGGCTCGTCGTTGACCATGGCAATCTCAATGTGGGTGTAGGCGGGCTCGCTCACAAACAGGCCGTCGTCAACCGTCACCATCAGCGTCCGCCGCGCGCTGCCGTCGTCTCCGTCAGCAACCACATCAGCCCCGCTCGGCTCATCCGCAACGTTCCGGTACGTCAGCGTCGACAGCGCCGCCACAAACTCGGTGCGCAGCGCAGGCCCGCGCAGCACAAGCACATACGGGTCCGCCGTGCTGTTGTACTCCACGCTGATGTTGCTGCTCCCGCCGTCCGTCGCAGACAGCTCCTCGAGCACACCATCCCGTCCGTCAACAAGCACAACACGCACAGCAGCAAGCGCAAGGTCCCCGCTGTCCGCGTCCGTGATCCCGGCATCTGCGCCAACAGCAGACACCGCTGGGCCCTCCTCCGTAAACACCACGCTCGCGTTCACAACGCCGTTCCCGGCATCCCCGACATACACAACGGGCCGCCGGTCGTTGATCACAGCAACGTCAAAGTCAACGCGCGCTGGCGCGCTCTCAAACACGCCGTCGTCAACAACAATCTCAACCGCCCGCGGGCCAGGCTCAGGCTCCTCGGCGCTGTTGTTGTACGTCAGCGTCGCAAGCACAGCCGCGTACGCGCTGTACGGCGCAGGCCCACGCACGCTCAGCGTCCGCGTCGTCGCGTTGTACCAGCTGCTCAGCCCAGGCACGCTACCGACAACGCCCGCGTCAACCCACAGCGCCTCGTCCGCGGCATCAACGTCTCCCGCTGACACAAACCGCACGCTCGCAGCCTGCATCGGGAACTCGGCCTCGTGGTCCTCGTCAGAAACGCCAAACGCACCCGCAGACAGCAGCCGCACAGGCCCGCCGTGCTCCCACGTACGTCTTGCGCTCCTTGTAACATGAAAATTTCAGACGAATGCGTGCGAAGCCGATTAATATGCAAGCGGCCATAACCGGGCTTTTTGATCAGTCGATAGCCAGAAGGCAATCTTCGGTGCCGTAAGATGTCTTTATCGACGATCTATCTGGAACCATCACCCACGCGCACCACGCGCGTCTCCAGGCTTGGCTCGTCCAGCGTGTTGTTGTACGCCAGGCTGCGCAGCGCCGCCTCCAGCCGCACCGTCTGGTTGTCCCGGTACTGCAGGTCGTCGTACAGCGGCGCGTGGCTGGCGTTGGATGGCGACGCCCCCACGCCCAGCCGCACGTGCCACGCGTCAATGCGCTCCACCACCAGGCCCTCAATCTCCGTCTCAGCCTGGATCAGCAGCACGTCTGCGTCGCCGTCGCGCGGGTTGGTCACGTCAATGTCCACGTACTGCAGCTGGAAGTTGTCCACGTCCCACAGCGACAGGCCCGTGCTGTTGACAATGGAGACGGCGCCGCCCTGCTCCACAAACGTGGCTGTGGCGTTGCCGTCGCCGTTGCGCGCAGCGGCTGCCGCGGGGCCCTCCAGCAGCACCACGGGAACGTCGTTCACAGACTCAACGTCGATGGCGACCACGCTCGTGTCGCGGCTGAAAGCGCCGTCGGATGCGTACGTCGCGTCCACGTTGGCCTGCAGGGGTGCGCCCTGTGTGTGATCCCAGGCCACAAACGTGAGGTCGGCGCGCCCAAAGAAGTCTTTCTTGGGCACGAAGCGAATGGTGAACGGATCTGTGAGCGGCAGCAAGAAGGCGGACGTGATGCTGGCGTTGGCGGGAACGGCCTGCCACCGGAACATTGGGCCAGTGGGCACTGTCGTTGGCATTGCCGTGGTGGCGTTTGCAGACATGCCAGTGGCGTTGCTGCTGCCGGAGGACATGCCCGTGTCGACAGGTACAACCGGAACAGCGACCTGCCACTCGCCACCGTACGTGTCCACGCCAACCACGGCCACGCCAAACTGCGGCGCGGCGTCAAAGTCCTGCATGAGGGAGCGGAGCTGCGCATAGACGTCTGTGCCGTTGTTTTCCTGCAGGGACGCGTCCTCGGCAATGGCGTCGAGCTCCGTCGTGGCTGCGGTGAGCACGGGCGCGTCGTTGTGCGGCTGCACGCGAATGTTGGTGACAAACGCGTTTGAGGGGGCAAAGTGCGGGTCAGACACGGTGGTGGTGATGCGACGCACGACGCTCGGCGTGGGTGCATCGGACAGGTTCTCGTAGACGAGGCTGCGCAGATAGTCAATGACATCGTCGAGCGACACGTATCCCTGCGCCAGCAGTGTGGTGGCGCCCGTGCCTGCGTCATATGTGAGTGTCTCGTTGAGCGCGTTCCCGGAGGCCGTGGTGGTGTTGCCGCGCATCACCTCCGCTTCAGCGTCCGGTGCGGCGTGCAGGACGGCGGTCACCTGCACGAAGAACGCGTCGTCGTCGTCCTCCACAACCGTGTCTGCTGGGACAACGGCCGCGGGCGCGTGGTCCTCCACGAAAGTGACGTTCCAGGTGCGCCCGACGACCGGGGAGTAGAGGCGTGGCGGGTCGTTGACAAGCACGATGGCCACCGTGCTGTACACGGGCACGCTCCAGGCGATGCTGTCGCTTGCCGTAACGGTGAGGACGCGCGGGGTCGGCGTGGGCTCGTCTGCGCGATTGTCGTAGGTGAGGGTGGCCAGCACGCTGGCGTACTCGCGCGTGGTGGCATTGCCGGTAATGTCGAGCACCCCCGTTGCCGGGTCGTATGCGGCCGTGAGGTTGGAGTTCGTGGTGTTGACGGCCAGGAATTCGAGGCCGGCATCCCGCACGGTGAACGCGACGCGAGCGGCATCGATGATGGGCCCGTCAATGTCCATGATGGTGAGGGCCGCGGAGACGGCTGGCACGGGGCCCTGCTCCTCTGTGAACGTCGCGGAGAAGTCTGGGTCGGCGCCGCCGCCGTTGAGGTTGAGAATCGGGGCGTCGTTGACGCTGTCAAAGCCCACAAACGCCACGGCAACCACGCTGGTGTTTGTGCCGTCAAAGGCGACCACGCGCACCTGGCGCTGCGAGGTGTCCGGGTTGCCCGGGCCGTACTCGCTGTGCGTGTAGGTGAGCGTCTGCAGCACGGCCTGCAGCTCTGCGAGCGATGCCGGCCCCTGCAGCCTGAGCATATGGTGTGCAGCGGTGGCAGGAACCACGGTGACGTTGGCGTCCGGGCCGGTGGCATTGGCATTCAAACTCTCGCTCAAGCCGTCTGGGGGAGAGACGAGCTCAACATCGAGCCACTGCAGCTGCGTGTTGTCGTCGTCCTCCAGCACGGCGTCCGGCGCCACGCGCAGGGCGCCCTGGCCCTCCGTGTACAGGAAGGCTGTGTTGACGTCTGCTGGCGTCGGTGGCGGCGTGCCGCCCGAGAGGAACACGCGGGGAACGTCGTTCACGGAGATGATGTCGACAATGGCATAGGCCGGGTCGCTGGCAAAGTCTGCGTCAAACGCGGTGAAGGCGATGGCGCGATGGCGCGGGTACCGCGGCTCGTCGGCCACGTTTGTGTACCGCACCGTGCGCAGGACAGCGGTGAACTCCGCGGGGGACGAAGGCCCTTGGAGCCGCAGCAGGTGCGGCCCGGCGCGCTGCACGGCAACCGCCGGTGATGCGGTGGCGTCGATGGTCTCGAGCGCGCCGTCGCGGGCGTCAGTCAGGTTCACAACGACGTGCGAGATGTTGGTCGGGTACTGCAGGAGGAAGCCCGAGTCGGCGTCGGAGAGCAGGGCCGTGGGTGCGAGCGGGAGGGGCGCGCTTTGCTCCTCCACAAACGCAACGCGCGTGTCGATGTTGGCATCGGCGGTGGCCGTGTTGAGGTCAATGACCGGGGTCTGGTCGTTGATGAGCACGATGGAGAGCGGCACCAACAGCCCGTTGCTGGCCCAGCGCCCGTCAAACACAGTCAGGGCCAGCAGCCGCTGCGCCGGGTCGGGCTCCTCGGCCGTGTTGTGGTAGGTGAGCGTCTGCAGGACGCGCGTGTAATCGCCAACGGTGGCCTCGCCGGTGATGATGAGGGTGCCGTTGTCCGGCACGTACAGCGCGTCGAGGCCGGTCTGTGCCAGGAGCGCGGCGCTGACGCTGAGGCGCTCCAGGGCGAGGTCGGCGCTGTTGTTGGGAAGGGCAACCATGGCGCCGTACAGCGGGAACACGTCGTTCTGGTCGTCATCGGTGATGAGGAAGTTGCCGTTGAAGACCGGCGCCTCCGTGCAGTGCAGGACGCAGGAGCCGTTTGGCTCAAAGAAGGTGGCGTCAAACGGCGGCGGCACGAGCGAGAGCACGGGCGCGTTGTCGTTGATGAGCTGCACGGAGATGTACGAGTCCACGACGTTGGATGCGTTGAGCGTGTCGCGGATGAAGAAGCGCACGTGGCGCGTGGTCATGTTGGGCTCGATGGCCGTGTTCATGTACTTGGCGCCGAGGAGCACGTCGACAAACTGGTCGAGGGTAACGTTGCCCACGGCAGTGGCCTGAACGACGACGCTGCCCGGCGGTGCAAACCACGATGGCCAGCTGCTGGCGTCCGCAACGGTGAACACGGCGGGGTCCGTGGCGGTGGGGGAGTCCAGCACAATCGACTCCGCGCCCGCACCGTCGAGCGGGTTCACAATGGCAAACATGGCCCGCGTGAAGAAGGCGTTGTCGGCGTCAAAGACGAACAGGTCCTCCGACACGACGGGCGTGCCGTCAGCAGCACCTTCCACGAACACGGCATCGGCGGCCGCGCGGGAGGCGTTGTACAGCTCCGGAGGGTCGTTGACCGGGTGCACAAAAACGGTGGTGGTGCGGGGAATGCTGGTGAGGGTGGCGGTGTCCGTGACGGTGGTGGTGATGACGCGCGGGTCCGCGTGCGGGTTGCGGTCGCTGTTGTGGTAGTGCACGTTTGTCAGCGCCGTGAGGTAGTCCCCTGGGCCCGCCAGGCCCGTGAGCAGCAGCTCGTGCGCCTCCGCATCGAGAGCTACCGCCGTGATGCCCGCGGCAGTGCTGGCGTTGGTCGGGGTCCAGGAGAGCGTCTCGTTTCCGCCGTCGAGCGGGTTGTCCAGGCGCACGTGTGCCGACTGGATCTGGAAGAGGCCGTCCGTGGAGAGGCTGGACTGGTCCGTGAGCAGGATGGGGCTCGCGGCGCCGCCCTCCACAAACACGACGCTCGTGTCCAGCGACGTGTCGCCAGAGGCGGTGTCCAAGTCGAGAATGGGCTGGTTGTGCGTGGTGAGGGTGATGTTGGCGTCCGCGTTGCTGTCCTGGCCGTCCGACACGACAAAGCTGAGCACGCGCTCCACGGGGGTGGGGAGAACCTGCTGGTTGTTGTAGCGCAGCGTCTGCAGGAGGGACGTGTACACGTCGGCGGAGTCTGCGCCACGGATGGTGAGCAGGCCCTGGGCCGCGTCGTAGCCAACCTCAACGTTGGGCCGCTCCGCCAGGCGCAGCTCAACGTAGTGCACGGTCGCCGTCACGCCCGCGCGCGTCTCCACGAGCACGGACCACGTGCCGAGCGACACCTGGTCAACCAGGTCGTGCAGGGGCTGCGCTGGCGCTGCGGGCTGCAGGATGGAGGTCGGGTATGCGGGGCAGGTGTCCGCTGCTGCGACGTGGCCGGCGGCCGTGCTGTCGACGCGCGTGTCGAACACGAGGGAGCCCGTGCTGGCGGTTGAGCAAGGGCCGTTGACGGCGCCAAAGTCCTTGAGCACCACGGGGGCGGCACCCGCGTCTGCGCCGGCCGCGGACGTGAGCGACACGCGCACGTCCTCCACAGAGGCGGAGGTCAGGTGCACGTGCACGTCTGCGTCGACCACGGCGCTGGCGCTGGACACGCTGAGCGGGATGGAGCTTGGCGCAGACGGCGACACGGCCTGCGAGGCGGACCACGTGGTGTACGTGCGTGTGCCGGAGGTGAGGATGAGGGCAAACCTGCGCAGGGAGCCGTGGGAGAAGAAGCGCACCGTGTCCTGCACCTCCAGGACCCAGTCGCCGCCCATGTCCAGGCCGTCAAAGGCGCTGAGGGCGTTCTCGGGCCGCACAGAGCCCGTGTAGCCCTCTGCGGAGGCGCAGCGCGTGGTCACGCTCTGGCTGGCGCGATCAGAAAAGTGCAGGTTGACAAAGTCGGCGAGGGCGCACTGGCCCGAGGCGCCGCTGGCACTGGCCGGGTTGGCCACGAGCTGCACGGAGCGCCCTGCGTGCGAGAGGGTGAGGATGAGCTCGCCCACGTACGGGTGGTCAATGTCCACCACCACCTGCACGTCGGAGACGGTGGCGCCTGCGCTGCCGCTGGTGAGAACGGCGGACGTGCAGAACGACGTGGGCGCGGTGGCGCAGGAGGAGGCGATGGCTGCGTTGAGCGTGGACGTGGACAGCGTCTCGACGTGGCCTGGGGGAGGCGGCGTGTAGGTGAGGAAGAGCTGCTCTGACGGCGCGTCGGGGAGCGGCGTGATGGTGACGTTCATGCCCTGCACCAGGTCGCCTTCGTAGTCTGTGACATACGACTGGCTGCTGGTGACGGGGACGTCGCCCAGGCCCTGGATGAAGAGCGCCGAGGAGCTGACGCTGGGCGCCAGCACGCCGTTGAGGTCGAGCATGGGGGCGTTGTTCTGCGCGTCGATGGCGACCACAGCGTACGAGGGCTCGCTGGTGAGGCGGCCGTCGTTGATGACGAGCGACACGATGCGCGGCTGCGTCGACGGGTTGGGGAACGTGTTCTCGTACGTGAGCGTGCGCAGGAGCGCGCGGTACGCTTGCTTCGTGGCGTTGCCCGTGATGGAGAGGAAGCCGTCCGGGAAGTACTGCACGCTCAGGGCGGGCGCAGCGGACGCGTTGACGGAGAGCACCTCAAACGTGTTGGCGAGGGTGCGGTCAATCAGGTTCTCGATGCGCACGAGCGCGGACTGGACGTAGTCGTCGTCGTAGTCGAAGACACGCAGCGCGTCCGTGGTCAGGGCCACGGCGGACCCGCCCTCCACAAACGTGGTGTGCATCGGCGCGTCTGTGGACCCGTTGAAGCCCACCTGCGGAGCGTCGTTGACGGCAGTCAGGTCGATGGTGGTGAACGCCCGTGTTGGACCGCTGCTGCGGCGCGCCGGCGCCCGTGGCTGCGGCGTCCACGACAGACACGGCCACGACACGCGGTGTGTCGACCTCGGGATCGTTGTCCAGGTTGAGGTAGCGCACCTCCTGCAGGGCGGCCGCCCACTGCGCCAGCGTCGCCGGCCAGGAGAGCAGCAGCGTGTCCGTGTTGTTGCCCGTGGCGCTGCCGCCGGACGGCACCACGCTTGCGGGCACGGTGAGCACCTCAAACGCGGGCGTGTCCTGCACGTTGGTGATGCGGATGAGGGCGGAGGTGAGGTGCGTGTCATCGTCGTCCGTGATGAGCGTGTCTGGGGACGCGATGGGCGAGCCGGGCCGCTCGTCCTCAACAAACGCGGTGGTCCAGTTGGTGGCCTGCGCGGTGCCCAGGGCCAGCACGGGCGGGTCGTTGGTGAAGGCCATGTTGACGGTGGTGAAGCGCGAGAGCGACGCGCGGTCGCCGTCGCTGGCAATCACCTCCACCACGCGTGGCGTCGGGTCCGGCTCGTCGCGCGTGTTGACAAAGGTGATGCCGCGCAGGATGTCCTGGTAGCGGCGGGTGGACGCCACGCCCGTGAAGGTGAGCGTTGCGGTGCCAGCCGCGTACGAGACCTGGACGGCACTGGGGACGTCTGGGCCCGCGCTGAGCACCTCGCCAGCGCCGTCGAGGTTGTTGACAATGCGCGCCGTGAGCCAGGCGAGCGTGGCGTTGTCGACATCGCGCAGGGTGGCGTTTGGTGCGGCAATGGGGACGGGCTCCGTCTCCTCCGTGAAGGTGATGGTGTTGTCGTTCCCGGCCTCGGTGGGCCCGTTGAGGTCCACGAGCGGGGCATCGTTCACTGCCGCAAACGTGACAAACGAGTACACGGGCGTGCTGGTGAGGTTGCCGTCGCTGACCACAAACTCGACGGTGCGGGTGAGGGTGCTGGGCTGTCCCGGGCGCGACTCGAGGTTCTGGTACGTGGCCGTGCGCAGGACCTTGAGGAAGTTGTCGAGCGCATCTGGGCCCGTGAGGGTGAGGGTGGCGTAAAACTCCACCACGTCAAACGCGCGCGTTTGCGGCTCGACAACAAAGGGGATGGTGTTGACGTAGAAGTACGCGCCCGAGTGCTGCTTGAGGGAGGTCAGCAGCAGGCCCGAGGAGGACACGACGCGCGTGAGGTTGCTGGACATGACACTGAGGAACCGGTCGTCGGCCACCACCTGCAGGGAGATGCGGGCAATGGGCCGGGAGGCCGGCTGCCCGTTGACGTCCAGCGCAGACGCCGTGGCGTTGAGCACGCGCACGACCACCGTCTCGTTGCCGCCGGGGAGCCCCAGCTCGTGGTTGAGCAGGTCAGCGGTGATGTTCTCAAACTGCGATGGGAGGACGGCATCGGCCGCCCACACGGACGCCTCAACGCCGGCAAGCTCAATCTCCGCGGTGGTGCTTGCCTTGCCCTCGCCCGGGCCGCGGTCCTCGTTGACCGTGTGCTCGAAGGAGGCCACAATGCTGGTGCCTGTGGTGTCGACGGCGAGCACCTCGTCCGTGTAGTCTGGGGCGCTGACCAGGAGGAGCCGCGCCCAGGCCAGCACGGTGTGGTCCTCGTCGGAGAGCAGGGCATCTGGGTCAACGAGCGCCAGCGGGGCGCCGCCCTCGCGGTAGTGCACCACATTGCTGTGGTCGTCGGCGGCGGGCCCGCCCACGTTGAGCATGGGCGGGTCGTTGATCATGATGATGTGGACTGCGGCGCGGGCCACTGTGGAGTTGAAGCCGCCGTCCCACACAACCACGGAGATGGTGCGGGCGCTCACGCCGCTGGGGAGGTCCGCCACGTTGGCATACGCCACGGCACGCAGGGCCGCCGTGTAGACGTCCGGCGACGCAGAGCCCGCGATCATGAGCGTGTGCGAGCCCGCATCGTAGGAGGCGGAGAGCGGGCCAAGCTGCACGGGCGCGCTGCTGCTGCTGCTGCCGAGGACGGTGGCGTTGATGACGGCGGTGCCCAGGCCGAGCTCCGGCGGCGGCAACAGCACGAGGGACTCGAGGTCGCCGTCGAGGGCATCGTCGATGCGCACCCACATAGCCTCCATGGTGAAGTTGCCGCTGTCCGGATCCGTGACGGTGGCGTCGCTTGCCGCGATGCGGACCGGGTGGCCCTCCTCCACAAAGTCCACGGCAGAGTCGATGCCGGGCTGCGAGGGCCCGCTCAGGTCAACCTCCGGCGCGCGGTCGTTGATCACCTGCACGTCCACGCTGATGACGACAGGCTCGCTCTCAAAGTCCGCATCGCGCACGACCACGCTGACGCGGCGCGGGCCCGGGGTGGGCTCCTCCGCGGCGTTGACGTACACGAGCGAGTTGAGGATGGCGGTGTACTCCTCGGCGGTGCCGAGGCCGGACACGGCGAGGGAGCCGTTGCCAAAGGTGACGGTGAAGCCAAAGCCGGCCGGGGTGGTCACGGCCAGGCGCTCGTGTGCCGGGTCGCGCAGGGAGTCTGCGGTGATGGAGGCCTGCGCGGACACGAGGAGGAAGGAGGCGTGGTCCTGGTCCGTCACGGTGAGCGGGTCTGTGTCGAGCAGCGGAAGGCTGGTGTTTGGCTCGCGCAAGACGAGCGGCTGCGTCTGCGTGTAGGTGATGACGGGCGCGTGGTCGTTGACGAGCTGCATGTCGACGTAGGTGTGGACGACGGGCGACGCGTCGATGCCGTCGCTCACGGTGAGGGCGATGGAGCGGGTGGCCGGGTTTGGCTCGTCGGCGGCGTTGACATAGCGCAACGACTTGAGGACCGTGGCGTAGTTGGAGATGGGCATGCGGGCGGCGCTGCGGGAGCGGATGACAATGGTGTAGGTGGTGTTGCTGGCCTCCACCAGCAGGGACAGGCCCATGTTGGCGGTGACGACCGAGTTTGCGGCCAGGAACTCCGCCTCGCCATCCTCCCTGTTGACAATCTCCACGCGCGCGCTGTCGAGCGTGGCGTGGTCGGCGTCGGTGATGGTGAGCGAGGACGGGAGGATGAGCGCGCCCGTGGACGACTGCTCCAGGAAGGTGGCGCGGTAGTTGCCCGAGGGCGTGTTGAGCAGCACCTCCGGCACGTCGTTGACGGAGACGACGGTGACGACGGCGCGCGTGGTGTCGCGGGAGAACGGCGAGGACGCGGTGGAGGCGGCCTGCGTCGTGTCCACCACGGCCAGCGGCGCGTGCTGGGTGAGGTCCCAGGCGCGGAAGGTGAGGGTGGCGCGGCCGTTGAAGTTGGGCGCGGGGAGGAAGCGCAGGTGGTCGTAGGGCCCAACCAGGGTGGCGTTGGCCGGGGTGGTGGCGGCCGCGGTCAGGTTGACGGGTGCAGCGCCTGCGGCAGCCGGCACCACCTGCCAGGTGCCTGCGGCCGAGGAGTTGGCAATGTGCACGATGGCCATGCCGAACATGGCGTCGTCGGGGTCCGTGACCAGGCCCGTGAGGAGGGAGGCGGCGGTGGCGCCCTCGTTCATGTCCTCCGACACGTCCTCGTTGATGGTGGGCAGGACGGCGACGGCGGTGGTGGAGAGGACGGGCTGGTCGTTGACGGAGCGCACATGCAGGGTGACGTTGGCGGACGCGGTGAGGTTGCCGCCGGAGCCGCTGTTGCCCCTGTCGTCAACATCCACCACCAGGGTGTCGTTGCCGAAGAAGTTTGGGTTGGGCTTGTACGTGAGGCCGTTGAGCTGGTGGTTGATGACGCGGAGCTGGCCGACCACGGTGATGCGGCTGCTGCGGCGAAGGCCGCCGTCAACGGAGATGGTGCCCTCCGTGCAGCGCAGGTTGGTGACCATGGTGCCGTTGTACTCCTCCGCGTCGCTGTCGGCCACGGTGACGTCCACGGGCACGGGGCTGGCGTCCTCGTCCAGCGTGACGGCGGCCGGCGCCTGCACCTCGGGCGCGGCGTTGACGGGCGCGTAGGTGAAGGCGTTGGGGCTGAGGGTGACGACTGCACCAGACTCGGCGAGCAGCTCCACGTCGCCGGAGCTGGGCACGTTGACGCCCGCAATGACCACCACCTGCGTGTCAGACTCGGAGACAATGGCCTGCACGTCAGTGCCAGCGAGGACGACGCGGTCGAGCGCCGCTGCGCCACCGAGCAGGCGGGAGCCCGCGATGGTGACGCGCGTGCCGACCTGGCCCGTGGCTGGGGAGACAGAGTCGATGCGGCCGGTGGCGCGCAGGGCGAAGCTGGCTGGGAGGGTGACGATGGCGCCCGTGTTTGACTCGATGGTGACGTCGACAACGGCGTCTGACGCAACGAGCGCCGTTGCCTCGTCCACGTTGATGCGCACCACCAGCGCGGTGCTGCTTTGGGCGATGACATCGGCGGTGACGCTGGCGCCAAAGGTGACGCGGCGTGCGGCGGTGCCCCCGCCCAGGAGCGAGGTTCCCGTGAGGCGAACAAACGTGCCAGCCTGGCCCGACGTGGGCAAGATGTCTGTGATGGCGCCGGGTGTGCGGTAGCGCCAGGCGGCGATGGCCGTGAAGCGCGCGCCCGTGTCTGCGACGAACTCAACGTCGCCAATGGCCGGGGAGGGCAAGGAGCCCGGCGCGGGTGCGGCGGCGACCACAATCACCTGCGTGTTGTTTGCAGACACAATCTCCTGCACCTCGACGCCGACGAGCTTGACGGAGACGAGGGTGGATCCGCCGCCGAGGAGGTTGCGGCCAGCCAGGGTGACGCGGGTGCCGAGCTGGCCCATGTCTGGCACGACCGTCTCAACTTGGCCGGCAGAGAGGTAGGAGAAGCCGTTTGGGCGGACGATGGTGGCGCCGGTGCTTGTGCTGATGGCCACGTCGCCGGTGCCCTCGAGCCCGCGCGCGGTGACGACCTCGATGCGCGAGTTGGTGGCGGAGACGAGCTCGGCCGGGAAGCCGGCAAGGGACACGGCCTCCACAAAAGTGCCGCCGCCAAGCAGGTTCTTGCCCGTGATGGTGACGCGGGTGCCCACGCGCCCGGTTGCCGGCCGCACGGCGGCGATGACGCCAGGGTCGAGGTAGGTGAAGCCGTCGACGACGCGCGTCTCCGCGCCCGAGTCTGCGATCATGAGCAGGTCGCCCGTGGAGTTTGCGCCGTACCCGGCGTCGAGGGTGACCAGCGTCGGCAGGGCAATGACAATGGTGGCGGGGACGCCGGCAAGCGTGACGTTGACGATGCGGGAGCCGCCGCCAAAGAAGCGGAAGCCCGTCACAATGACGCGCGTGCCTTGCTGGCCGGAGGAAGGGCTGATGCTGGAGACGACCGACTCCTCGAGCTGCGTCCACGTTGCGGAGGCGATGGCGGTGGCGCCCGTGTCTGCGGTGACGACGACGTCTGCCAGGCCCGTGGTGGCCGGCGCGGACGGGGCAATGGCAACGACGCGAGTCGGGGACGCCTCCACAATGTCGCGGGCCTCAACGCCGTTGAAGGTGACGCTGACGATGCTGGAGCCGAGGCCGTAGAGGCGCTGGCCGGTGATGGTGACGCGGGTTCCGACCTGGCCCGAAGACGGCGCCACGGTGTCGATGCTGCTGGCGTCCACGTAGGAGAAGGTGTCGTTGGCGTCGATTATGGCGTGGGTGGAGGCTGTCAGCGTCAGGGTGAGGTTCGTGCGGCCTTGGCCGGGCCCCGCCGGCTCTGCGCCCGCGCGCAGGACCACCTGCGTGTTGGTTGCCGACTGGATGGTGGCTTGGGACGGCTGGGCGGTGCCAAAGGCGGCGGTAGCCAGGGAGGGCGCCGCGCCGAGCAGGTTTGTGCCGGTGACCGTGATGAAGGTGCCCAGCTGTCCCGAGGACGGCTGGACGCCCGTGATGACGCCCTGCGGTGTGTAGTCGAACCCACCGGGAACAGCCACCTCCGCGCCAGACTCTGCCTTGAGCAAGACGTCGACGTTACCGGCCGGGGCAGGGGCGGCACGCACGACGACGCGCTCGTTGGCGGCCTCGAGGATGCGCGCTTGCACGGACCCGAGCGTCACGGTAGCGAGGCGCGTGGCGTGGCCAAGCAAGTTGGAGCCCGTGATGGTGACGTGGGTGCCGCGCTGGCCGCTGCTGGGCGTGATGGCGGACACGTTGCCCTGGGGCCGGTATGTCCAGGCGTCACGGATGGTGGTGAGCGCGCCCGTGTCTGCGGTGAGGACAATGTCTCCGACGGGCGTTGGGTCGCTGGCAGCAGCCTCCACAACAACCAAGGTGTTGTTGGACGAGAGGATGCGGCGCGCGGGGACGCCAGCCAGCGTGGCGCCGGAGATGCGAGTACCACCGCCAAGCAGCAGCTGCCCAGAGACGGTGACGCGGGTTCCCACTTGTCCAAATGATGGCACGACGGTGGAGATGTTGGCATCGTCCAAAAGCTCGAACGTCTGCTCAAACACGACAGTCGCTCCAGTGTCAGAAATCAGCGTGATGTCCACCGTCTCGTAGGTGGTGGTGGCGGCCTTGACTGGGCTCAAGGCGGTTGTCAGAAGAAGAAGCAGCAGCAGCTCCATGGGGGAAGCGCGGCGTGCCTGTTGTGAGAGGGGAAGTGGGGAGAACGGGGAGAGGGTGTGAGGGGTGTGAGTGGGTGGGTGGGGGAGAGACAAACGGTGTGGGAGCGTGTTGTGTGTGTGTGTGTGTTGTGTTGTGTGAATGTATGTGTGTGTGTTGTGTTTGTGTGTGTGTGTGTGTGTGTGTGTGTGAGTGTGTGTGTGTGTGTGTGTGGGAAAGGAGGGATGGTGTGAATTTGATGATGAGTGTTGGGAGCGGGGGGTGAAGGGTGATGATGATGGTGGAAGGCAGCATGCAGGGAGGATGGCAGAAGCACAACAGCAGCGTTCACGGGCGTACCATGGTCAGAAGGAAGTTTGCGTGTAGCTGGGTGTGGAGGGTGGCAAACGGTGACGTCACAAACAAGGTGGCGTCCCACCACAGCACCAGTAGCAAGGAGGAGAGGCGCTGTGTGTGTGCCAAGGGGGGGGGGGTTCGATGCGCGTGAGATGTGTGTCGTGTGGGTGGGTAGAAAGACACGCAGGTGGGTGCATACGCAGGGTGCAGGACGAAGGGTGCAGGACGAAGGCGCAGATGAAGAGAGAACAGCTACAGCCACGAGGAACGGGTGCACACAAAAGAACGACCACGCACATGCATACTGCGACAGTTATGACAAGACACTGCCCACAACCATACACAGCAGCCACCACCAGATACACAACAGCCACCACCAGATACACAACAGCCAAGACCAAACAACAAGTACCTTACCTGTGATTGATTGATCGGAAAAGGGTCAAGAAGGAAAAGTGAAAGGAAAGTGAAAGGAAAGGAGACCACTCGAAGAGTGAGTGGTGTGTGAGTGATTAGTGGATCTCCTCTCAGTAGTCGGTGGCTCGTGGCACCACTTGGCAGCACTTGGCAGCCAGCAACCACACAAAAACACACGCACGGGTGTTGTTGGTTGGTTGTTGTTGGTTGTTGGTGCTTGCAAGCAGGCAGGCAGAAGGGATTTGGCGTGGCTGCCGCTTGCTTGCTTGCTGGGGTGTTTGGGTTTGTTTGCTTGCAGGGAAAGGGTTGCGCGGAAGGAAAATTGTCCCAAGATATTCACCAAGAACGCATTGCAACGGGCCCAAGCGGTGGTTGTGAGAATTTTTTATTTTTCAACCTGCGAGCGAGGAAGGGAAGCACTGGCTGACAAGCATTTTGTTTGTGTTTCCGCGGTGGTGGTGGAGTGGTGGGGGTGAATGACACACACATCGACAAGGACATCGATCAACACCAGCACCTGCACACGTCGACCGATAACCTTCCCTTCCACACGGGTTCAGGGTCACGTTCGTCAAGTAAGCACTATGCCACGGCAACACCGCGTGTTCATCTCGCTGCGCTTCAGTGAGGCGAGCCAGGCGCTGAAAAAGGCGCTGGAGCGCCGCAGCGTCCCCACGTTCCTAGGTTCCTGTGCGCCGTTGCCTCTGGCAACAGCATCGCCGACGCCGTGATTGGCGCCATCGACGAGTGCGAGCTGGTGGTGATCATGGGCACGCACACGTACGGCGAGAAGACGGACAGCCCCTTCGGTTCCAGCGAGGAGCTCGAGTTTATCATCAACGAGAAGAAGCCCTTCTTCCTCGTGAAGATGTGCGACCGCTTCAAGCACGCCAAGCCGCGCTTCTGGCTCCCACCCACCATCTCCTACCACTTGTGGAAGCCGCAAGGAGCCGAGCGCTTTGACCCGCCCCGGAGCCTTATCGACGCAATCCTGGCCAAGCTGAAGGACGTAAGCGGTGGCGTTGACGTACCACAGGCGCCGCAGCCAGCACAACAACAGCAGGAGCAGCAGCAGCAACAGCAGGAGCAGCAACAGCAGCAGCAGCAACAGCGGTGGGCTACAATTGATCCACAGGCAATGGAGGAGGAGAACAACGACCGCGACAACATGGGGTCAAGTTCCGCCCGCGGCCGTGATCCAAGCGTACCTCAAGTGCATGAGAACGCTACGTCCTCTAACGGCGAAGATGCGAATGATGATGATGATGACGATGACTTGCTTGATGCCGATGGCACACAGCAGATCGTTGTTCGCCCCCAAGATGGCCGACTGGGGATGGGAATTGTTGGCGAGTCGACAGCACGTGGTGGGGGTGTGTACATCAGCAACGTGTCAAATGCGGACGCAGCAGCGCAGGGCTTGGAGGTGGGGATGCGCATCATGACAATTGATGGTGAGGATGTGCGTGACTGCTCGCACGGGGGTGTCGTGCAGAAGCTGAGGAGCAAGACTGGGGATGGGGTTGTGCTTGGGGTGATTGGAGGGGACGATGGATTCGCCCGCTTGCTTCGGCACTGCTCAGGCACGACGAGCCGAGCACACAACAGCAATGACGTTTTGACTTCCCAAGGCGTCGCTGACAGCAGTGATAACGGTGAAGGGAAGTTGGAGGAAGATGGCACACGGCAGATTGTTGTTCGTCGTCAAAATGGCCAGTTCGGGCTTCGGCTGGTGAGCAAGACAATAGCATGCGGCGATGGGGTGTACATCAACGGCATCATCAATGCAGACGCAGCAGCGCAGGGCTTGGTGTCAGGAATGCGCATCATGACAATTGATGGTGAGGATGTGCGTGACTTCTCACGGAAAGATGTCGTGCGGAAGCTCAGGAGCAAGACTGGGGATGGGGTTGTGCTCGGGGTGATTGGAGGGGACGATGGGTATTCGCGGTTACGTGAGGTGGCTTCACAATCCAACGCACAGCATCAAGGACCGGAAACACACCTTCATCATGTCAGCCAAACGAAGAGGACAGAGTCTGTCAAAGCACCGTCACCGCTCTATTCATCGCCAGCATGCGATACACGCACGGCTTCGTCTTCATCACTTCCTGCATCACGGTCTGGTGCATTCAAGCCGCTGAACTACGAACCGCTTAACACACAGGTGTGGGCGCCCACGACACTAACGACGACGGGAGCAGGGGTGCCGCCGCTGGACGAAGTGGCACAGCAGCAGCAGCAGGCAGCCCAGCTCTTCTTCGAGGACAATGGGTACGTGTGTCTGTGTGTGTGTCAAACCATAATGTTTGCTTGTGTTTCCATCGTCCTGTCTGCCCATGTCGATCTCTGTACGCGCCTGCTCCTCACCACAACCCCTCACAGGCCCGCATTGTGCGTGATCGTGTTGTGTTCATTCTTGTGACTTGAGCAGGCCCATGATGCAACGACTAGCTCAACCATTCCCTGGTGAAACACAGCCAGTATTGAGATGCTTAACCATACATCATTTCTACTCATGCACATACGCGTTAGCCCCTTCCACATAGGCATGTACACGAATTCAACTCACACACAATCCACACACAACTCACATACCCGTACAAATACGCACGCACGCACACCACCACACTGTGGGTATACGCAGGTGCCACTGAGGAAAAGCGGTTTCATGCACACAGCTACAAGCATGCAGCTGCCCACTACCTTCGCCTGCCAGACGACTTGGCGCCCCTGTCCAGCACTGATGCCTCCACAGCAACAGCAACTATGTCTATTTCGGGGAAGCAACCTTATTCCACACTCAAAGCATCACGTGTTGAGGCTGCCGCCCCTGCACGGTCGTCGCGATCGTCAAGGATGCCCCAAATGGCGAGTGCACGCAGCCGCAGCAAGCGACGCCAAGAGGCTGATTCGAGAGCGCATGGCTGTCCTTTAATGTGCTCCATTGAAGGCAGTGGCGGCGGGCGATCTGGTCGTAGTGGCTCCCCACCACACAGCGCGCTTGACAGAAACAACTCAGGTAACTCCCCCTCTGGGTGCCGCTATTCGTCCTCTTCAAAAACTGTAAGTTCGAATGGTGCGCAGATGCCACGATGTGCCAGTTGCCGTGATGCAGTTCGCGTTTCTTTTGTATGTCCGTGTTTGTTGCTCGCCTCATTTCTTCACGTTTTGCTCTTCACACCTGCCTCGTACGCCGATTCATTTTCTTTGCGTTGTCTACCTGATTCTTTTCGTGCGCAGAGGGACGTTCCTGACAGGCGTCGCCATGCCACCCACAAGGCGGCAGCAGGAGTACGCAGCAGCCAGACAAGCAGCAATCGTCAAGGTGACGATGCTGAATGTTACAATGGCGACGACGATGATGGATATCTTGCTGCTGCGGAAGACAATACTGACGATGCGCTCGCACCTGCATCAGTGGACACGTCAGCAACGTTCATGAAGCAGCAACTGATTCAAATGGGATTCGAGGACAACCAGGACCTTGACCAAGCCATTCAATTTGTGCGTTCCCTTTGTTCAATGCCTCCCGCCAGCTGCGCGTGCTTTGCGTGCGCTGGCACACACACACACACACACATACACACACACACACAGCCTCACGCTTACATGCAGAGAGGTGCTCACGTGCTCTCTTCGCCCCTGCTTGTCTCTTCTTTGTGTTTTCGTTGAGCACCTTAGAGCAATGGTTCCATCCTTGAAGCGCTTGACTATTTGGAAGCCATCCGCGCGTCGGCGATGGCGAAATGCGCAAATGTACCCCCCTCGTCGAATTCAGAAAAAATAGAAGGCGACAGCAACAGCCGCTCCACATCAACACGCTCCATCAATCGAACCACAGGCAAGGCAAGTGCAGTCAGGGTATCCCGTGCACGATCGTCGCGATCGTCAAGCATGTCGCAGAGGACAAAATTCGACCCGGTTTGTGGAGAGCGCACATGTGTGTGTGTGTGTGTGTGTTGGGGGGGGGGGTGCATGGCATATGCAATACTGTGAATGTTGTATTCCTCGAACCTGCTGTCACTGCTGCGTCTGCGCTCCCGTGGTTGTCGTACGTTTCAGCTTGTTGCACTTAACACAATCTCACCTTCTCCTCCCCTTGCTTCTTGCTGTGTAACTATACACATATTGTGAGCAGAAGGAGTTTCCAGGTGTGCGCAGCCGTTACAGCGGACAGGCGGCCACCTATCGCCACCGTGCGCGAGAGGCAGATGCAGATGCAGCACATGCACCCATGATGCACAACAGCAGAGGGCTTCGCCGTAACACATACGACCTTCACGGCTTGTCTGTGACGGCTGCTATCAGAGAAGTCAGGGGGCTCATCGATGACGCTAATGGTTAGTCTGCATGTGAGCATGTGTGTGTGTGTGTGTCTGTGTCTGTGTGTCTGGGCCTGTGTCTGTGGCTGCATGTGTGTGTCTGTATTTATGCGTCTGTATTTATGTTTCTCTGATTCACTGTGTGTTGTATCTCGTACACTCAACGTTGGCGTTTCCCTCACTCGTTCACCTCTGCTCTGTTTCAGCGCGCCGCCGCAGCGGCTTGACTGCTCCTCGCTTCTTCTATTTCGTAACGGGGTCGGGACAGCACAGCGCTGACGGACGGGTGCGTGCAAACATGGACGCTTACTGAAATATTGCCTCGTGCGCGCGTTTGCGACTCCGGTTCATGCTCGCGGAGCTTCTGTGTTCACACACACACACACACACACACACACACACACACACACACACCACATTGCATGTTGGTGCGGCTTGACACGCTCTGTATGTATTGTGTGTAACACGTGTGTTCGCTGTCTGTAGTCGAGGATCAAGGCCGTGCTCAAGAACTACTGTACGGGATCCGGCCTCCGATACGAGGACGTGGACGGCGCAACCATCAGGATCTTCACTCGCCCCCGCCGCTGACATACATGCTTGATTGTTGATGCGTGTGCGTGTGTGTGTGTGTGTGTGTGTGTGTGTGCGTGCGTTCTTTGCTTGCTGCTGTGGATGCTGTTCTGTGTTTGCGTTTGCAGTCCCTCGTCCTGAGTACGTTAATTGAAGTCGTGCGGAGTTTTATGTTCTGTCGTGATGTGATGTGATGTGACATGGCATCAAGTAAACGCTCACTTTGAACAAAACAACGCATGAAACGGAAGGCACAGAGTAACGTGATAGCAAGATTGGGATCATTGACAACAAACAGCCATGATAACACACACTCACAAAGCAACACACACGCACACACACACATGCAACACGCAAAGCATTACTGTTCTTCCACACCCCCCCCCCACACCACACACACACACACACACACACAGACTATCAGTCTGACAAGCATTCTGGGACAAAAGTGATGAGGGTGAAGAGTGCTGGTGCGAGGGCCTCCGCAAGCAACAGGAGGCGGTTCTGGGCCCAGGACGTGTAGTGGACCCAAGGGCCGATGATGAAGCCGCCAATGAGCCAAACCCCAAACAGAATACCACCAATCACGACCAGGATGGCGCCAGCGATGTACATGGCGAGGCGGACCAGGTTGATGACGCCGTCGACGCTTTCGATGTCGGTCTCGTCTTCGTCACAGGAGTTGGCCAGTTTCAACAGAAGACGCCCGCCAAGGAGCATGGGTAGGCCAATGGGGATACCGGAGAGGCTGTACTTGTGGTAGCAGACGAGGTCGCGAACAGAGATGCCTGGTGGTTTGCCCAGGTTGATGCAGTAGTCGTTGAAGTCGGCGTTGGTGAGCGGAAACAGGACCAGGGCCTGCTGGCTGGCGATGACGAGGAACACCACGCTGTACAGCAGCTTGACCATAAAGCCTTTCAACCAGTTGCACCAGCCCTCCTGCTCCTCCTCCTCAAAGTCCTCATCCCGGGAGTTGTTGAAGTCATCGACGGAAATGTCCCGTTTCAGCGCGGCCTTGAGCGAGGGCAACATCACCAAGGTTTTCAGCTTGAGGCGCTCCAGTTCCATCTCCAGCAGGAGCACAAACATCTCCAGCAGGACGAACCCCATCAAGCCGAGGACCAGGCTGATGGTGGCCACCGTGCCTGGCGACAGCTTTGCTCCGATCCGGATGCCCAAGCACCAAGGTTTTCAGCTTGAGGCGCTCCAGTTCCATCTCCAGCAGGAGCACAAACATCTCCAGCAGGACGAACCCCATCAAGCCGAGGACCAGGCTGATGGTGGCCACCGTGCCTGGCGACAGCTTTGCTCCGATCCGGATGCCCAAGCTGCACTCGCTGGGGCCAACCGGCTCCAGTGTGCTCGTTGTGCCATTGGTCAAGATGAAGTCGCCGCAGCCAACCTCGCGCAGGAAATCGGGACTGAGGCTTGAGCTAAACGCCGGACCGGGGAACACCATCTCGCCCTCCGCCGTCCACGACGGCGTGTACTCGTTATCGTTGGTTGTCCAGGCGTGAAGTCGAGCACAGAGAACCACAAACTCAAACAGGAAGAAGACGAGGAAATGCACAATGGGCGCAACGAAGCGCACGCGACGCGCCGAGCGCGGGCGATGCAAGCAGCACTTCAGGACGAACCACGCCGTGAAGCTGAGCACGAGGTTAGCGCCGACGATGCCGTACAAGATGAGGGCAGGCAGGTCCAGCACGTCGCTGAAGTACCACGGGGTGTCCAGGCTGCCTGGAATCGGCGTTGGCGCCGGCGTCTGCGTGGTGAAGGGGCCCGTCGTCCATGTCGAGGTCGGGGAGGAGGTCAACACGCTGGTGCTCGTCATGTTTGTTGTTGCACTGGTGGTGACATTGGTCCCGTTGAAGGTCGGGAACATGGTCGTGTTGGCCATAACCGTTGTGTTCATGGTTGGTTGGCTGCTCTGTGTGTGTGTGTGTGTGTGTGTCTGTGTGTCTGTGTGTTTGTGTGTTGTACTGGTTCTGCCCTGTGTGAGTCGCTCTGTATGAGTCGCAGCTCTGTGCAGCGTGCAGGCTGATGGTGTTTTGTGGTCGTGTGCGACTGTGGGAAAATGGTCTGGAAAGAAGAGCAGAGGGGCGTGGAAAGACTTGGCTGCTTGACAAGGGGAGCTGCCTGGGCTGGGCTGCGTTGGGTCGGACGCTATGACGTCGATCGATACGCTGGCCTGCTTGTCGATGGCAAGGGTGCTCGAGAAGGAAACGAGGGGAGGACTGGTGAACGGAGAAGAGAATGAGAGAAAGAAAGCACAAACGTCTCACCCGAGTTGTGCCAGCCAGGTGCAAGAGAAAGCACACGTCTACACAGTCCTACAGCGACACCAGCAGACCACTCCCCCATCTCCGACGCAGTGATTCCCAAAGAGAAAAACCAAAGACGACACGCAAGGACACTACACAACACACGCCCCCTCTCCCACCTCAATGCCAACGTCCAGCATGTCCAAAGACTGAGAGAAGCCTTTCGTGCAAACTTCGAGGGATGTCCTCCTCCCGCCTTCCTCATCTTGGTTTCTGTGCCTGCCGCTCGCCTGGTTCTGGCGCTGAAGCTCCAACGCGCGAAAGGCGAGGCGAAAGTCGGTCGACCACGCACTTTCCCAGCCAGCGCGCCAAGAAGGAAGTGGCGCGTCTCAGTCGCCACCCAAAGGTTAGAAGCTTTGTTGTGTGTCTTTGTTTGCGGTTTCGCTTGTGCGTTTTCTGCAGCTGATCGGCACTGCCCAGAACGCATGCCAGGCTTCTCGCTGCTACGTTGGGTGCCCCACCCACCAACAGGCCAACTGACTTGGGCCCGTTCCATTGGGTTGCGGTGGAGTGCAATTGGGAGAAATTGGGCGTGTCCACACGAAAGACAGCAAGAAGAAGCAAAGCTGTGCGGGCGCAGGGTTCATTTCTCAGCTGTTGCGCTTGTTGTCAGTGTTCTCCTCTCCTCTCCTCCCAGCGTTCCCCCAAAGCAGCGCCACCGCAAGCTTGTGCGTTTCTCAGTTTCTCCGCACGTCTGCCTTCAACTTCAGTTCTTCTGTTACAACAACAGAGCCACGATGGCCAACGAGCACCGCCTGACAGACGGCGTGTCTGTGGAGGCGATCAAGACCTTCTTCGCAGACCTGCAGAGCGAGTTCCCCGACACGTACACTGAGATGACTACGGAGGATGCCTGCAAGCAGCTGGTTGTGCCACGCACACGCCAGGACAACTGCGCCTACGTCGAGCAGCTGCGCAAGCAGTCGCCAGAACACGTGAACAA